AGCCACTAAATATTGCCTATAGTATGAATTATTTTGAAGCACTTTTTTTCAGTTGAATCACTGAAATTCCAATGAATACAGTAGCTTCCTTAACACCTTCTAGCGTGGTCTTGTCAGATCTCAAAAGCTAATCAAGGCTTCATCTGTGCTAGGAATGGAAGGAAAACTTCTAAAGAAAATTAAGTTGCTGCTGGGGGCGGTGTTGCTAGACCTGTAGGTGGCAATATCCCCTATGGACAAGAATTTTCAAAACCAATGCCTATGTACAGACAATACGTAAAGAGGACATTATGTTGTAGGAGGCACTGTCCTTTGAATGAAACATAAAAGTTGAGGTTCTGACTGTTGAGGGGTTTAATAATCAATGCTTGATCATTAAAGGTGCCATGGCGCTGTTAGTGAGTGTAGGGTTGTTACACTGTGATATCCTGGATACTTACTTAAGCAAAATCAGAATGTAAATCCAAGATATTATTGTTATTAACAGAATGTAAACTTTGGAAAGAAATGCTGGGAATGCATTAGTAGCAATTAATTTTAATGTTAATTTTAATGTTAACAATAATTCTCCCATATAAAAGCAGGTTAAAGCTTAAAATGTAACATCTGACTAGGTAGAAATACCAATATGAATATATTTGTGCTTTATAAGTACAAATATCTAATTAAGTTTGATTAATGTCTAAATGTGTTGTATTTGGAATTATTTTGAAGTCCTGTATATTCAGTCTTAATTATGTACTGTGGGTATACATTGATATTTCTATTACATATTTAAGTATTTACCCTCTGAAATTGACGGCTGCCAATTATTTAAATGTTAAGTGTATAATGAGTTTATGCCTCCACTAGAATTGTTTTCAATTTCTGTATAATAGCATGTGCCTAGTGTATCTTGTCAACTATGACTGACACCAAAACCTTAAATCATTTAAGAATTACAGTACACTTCTCTGATGTGAGTATGTTTTTCTTTTACTTTTAGTTAATTCTATTCAGGAATTTCCCAAAAGCACCACTCCCACTTGAACCTCTTACTGTAATGTTAGCCCTCTGACTGTATGTAACCTCTTTTGATTTCAAGGTGATTATCCAGGTTTGCACAAAATTTTGAAGTTTTCCTGTGGGAGATGTCTTTCATCAAGGTAAGCATATAATAATAATAATAACTCTTTTGAAATCTAATTTGGTATTTTTTCAATGATCTCCTTTTCCTGCCTGAATTTATTTTAATTTTAACTTCTGTTCTTAAAATGCCTAGAGTAAACTTTGAAAGGCTTCATCTCCTTTAAAGGAAAACACACTATTCTTCTTCCCTCACACACAACTCTAATCCTAGAGGGATATTTGCATTCCACCCAAACTCAGCTGCCGCAGGTACAAAAAGACCTGCTGTACTACAACACCCTCATTTCTAAAACTACTGTGATCAAGATATACAGTACTACACTATAAAAAGGACTGTTAATCAGTGTTCTACAATTGTAGATGAATTGCTAATGGAAAGTATTTGGATTTTATATTTTTTATCTTATCAAGTAACTGTGGCTTGGAAAAGGCACAGTAATGTGCAGTAAAGCGAACTGAATCCATGGTAAAACATACAGGTACAATAAAGCAGTAATACCCATTCAAAGCAAAATCAACTTGTGATGTTACCGTGGCAACCCATAATAAAGGAAGCCTTTTACTGCATGGAAACTTCATTGGTTTTTATGTAATGTTGACAGATTCATAGTAAGGTAAAGAATCTGAGTATTTTTTCATAATTCTCAAAATATGGAAGTGCAGCCTTCTTTCATCCAGAAGGATGAAAAAGTATTTATTGATTGAAAAAGAAGACAATTTGGTTTAGCAAAACAGGAGGATATTTTCATAACAGTTGCACAGTTTCATTTTCATTTCATAATGTCACTAAGGGTTCAATAAGTACTATTGGGCAATCCAACATTAAAAAATAAGTTACATTTTAATTGTAAATTGTTAATTAAATTTAATTTGCAATACATGTAAATTAAATATTATGCATATTATGCAGATATTTTAGTTTTGATTTCTGTCAAAACTGTTTATTACCAAAGAAAATGATAATGCCCCTTGTAAGGTTTAGTAAATATGAAAAAGTGTTTTAATAAATGAACTGTATTCTTTTTCTGGCACAAACAAAACTAAGAATTTTTTTTTTTCTGTTGTATTGAGAGCTGGTGCTCTAAGAACTAATTGTCAATTTTGTAATTCCACCAGTTTATTGGATATTAATAATGAAACTATTATTTCAAATTACTACTAAAAACATGCTGATAGCCTAAAACATTCACAGTTCTGTACATAATTACATTGCATGCATACAAACGGTGTCTGTTTCCCTGTTTTCCATACAAATCCCATTCCTCAGATTGGAAAGACCATTCATTAATCAGCACATTTAACTTTGAAGGATTTTAACTGTTTTTAAAGATCTTTATTTTATTCCTTTATTCCTTTAATAATTCCAGCTTAAAGGAAACAATTCAGACCAATATTCACTAGCCAAATCAATAGGAACACCCAGGAAAATGAATAGACTCTCGTTGGCAGGCAATGTGTGGTCGGTTTGAGAAGTGTGTACTGTCCCAGATCTCAATCTTGTTAGAGACTGGTGGAACTGATGGAGCATTCGTTCAGTATAACATATCAGTGTTCTCATCACATTCATAAAACAAGCTCTTTCAAAATGTTATGTATCATGCAAATGTTCTTTAACTATATGTTCTTTATGATTGGTTGTCTCCACAAATAAAAATAGAAAACGAATGCTTGTGTTTGTACATTAACATAGAAGAAGGATTACAACAAACAACAGAAAGCCATTTGACCCATATAGCCTGTTAGATAGTTAGTCCCTAACTCATTGGTGGACTTTGCTTTTTCATGAAAACAGTACAGGATGCCAGTTGTGTGGCTGGACACCCTGTTCTGTACTCCTGTAACCCTTTGCATTAAGAATTACCTCCTCTTCTTGGTTTTAAATGTGTCTATCCTGAAGAAGTCCACTGGGTTGAGAATCAACAGACAAAATTTTCTTTTTACCAGACTCAAGACACAAATTGTATACCACCATATTTTACCATGCAACACATGCATTTAACCTTTTTGAGCACATAGTAAAAAAGATACATTTTAAATTATTTGTAATAAATTCAAAATGAATTAGGAAATCATTCCTTCTTAAAGCATTAATAACTATTAAAATTATTTAATTGTATTTACATGTCTGTAGCAATGACTATTATATTCTTTCTCAGTTTACCACAGCTGTGAAGTATAGCATGTTCATCCTGGTTTTCATGCTAGGTAAGATTCTATTTCCATTTCCACTTAGAACTGGTTTAATGTGTATTTAACGAAAAACCCTAGGACATACAGTACAGTAATATTACAGAAGTGTCTGTCAATATCAACATCTTTGTTGCCAATAAATGTATGATTACACCAGTCACATCCATTCCATGCTGCAACGGGGACAGCATGGACATTAGTGCTGCTGTCTTGTAGCTCTTGGTTCCTGGGGTTGATTCCATCCTGTAACGCCTTCTTGTTTGCTACCTTTCTTATTTTTTCATTTGTGGATGCTACATGTTATCATGACCCATGAAGAGATGGATATTCTCCCAGTTGGTCCAATTTCTTCCCCTCCCAAATGTGGCTATGTTACCTTTACTTGTGTTTGTAATAGACTGGTGTCTTGTTCAATGTGTGGTCCCTCTTGCACCCTCTGTTTCCAGGATAGGCTCCGGATTGTCATGAACCTTACCAGGAAAAAGGAGATTCCTGATAGTGATTACAGGACACAAAAACCTGCTCAGAACTGAGAGTTTCCAAGTGGTTCAAGCTGTAAAATTCCTCTATTCCAGGGAATATTACAGTTACAGTATCTGTATAGTATATAGTGCGTAGATCACTAATTTTATTTTGATAAACGCTACAGTTATATACAGAACTATACCCTCATCCAGACGTTTTGCCTTTTTTGCCATTTAGCCGGGACTCAAAATGCATTAAAGTAGTTTTTCATTTATCTACAAATCTTACCTCACGTCCTACCTCACAACTTCAAAATGAAAACATATTCATTGAAAACAAATAATGAAATTGTTTGGTTAGATAAGTGACCACCCTCTTGTAATAACAATCCTAAATTATCTTGCCTTCAAAATCACACCCCAAGTTAATTGGCCACCACTTGTGTTATATTGTAATGATTCTTGTGATTTCAAGATAAATTCAGCAGTTCCTGTAGGTTCCCTCTGCTGGGTAGGGCATTTTATAGTAAAGACTCATGCATGAGCACCAGAGAGCTTTTAAAATAACACTAGGACATAGTTTCTGAAAAGAACAGTCACAGAGATGGGTATAAAAAACACAGGCCTTGAGTATCTCCTGGAGCATAGTCAAGACAATTATTAAAGAGTAGAAGATGTGTGGCACCACCAAGAACAACCTAGATCAAGACTCTCTCCAAACTGGATAACTGAGCAAGAAGGAGAAAGGCTACTAAGAGATTAATGGCAACTTTGAAAAAAGCTACAGGATTTTATGCATATATATTTCTATGTGACATAAGTACCCCAAGCACTCCACAAACTTGGTCTGTATGGCAGGATAGCAAGAAACTATTACTGAAAACTGCAACGAAGCATTTAAGTGATACTGCAAACATGTGGCAACAGGTTTTGTACTCGTGCAATGCATTACATTTGGTGCAAACCCAACACAGCACATCAACAAAAAAAGCCATACCTACCATAAAGCAGGGCGGTAGCAGCATCATGTTATGGGGTCTTATCTGTGGAATCTGCAGCACTCATCACGATAGAAGGGGAAATGAATGAAGCAAAGGAAAGTCCTTGAGGAAAACCTACTGCCCAGTGCAAGAAAGATTAAACTAGGACAGAACAGCCTAAGCTACTTTAGAGTGGCTAAGGAATGAAAAGGTAAATGTCCTTGAGTGGTCTAGTTAGAACCCTGAGCTAGATACTTTTGACAGTTTGGCAGAACATGAACTCCATCAACACTACCCAGGGGACTTATCAGAACTTGAATAGTTTTGGCCACACATTGCAAAATCTAGACGTGCAAGGCTGGTAGAGGCACATTCCAGCAGACCCAACAGAGTTATACCAAACTGATGCCAAAAGTGCAGCTACCAAGTATTAACTCCGGGTGGAGAACCGATTCTGATATTTTAGTTTTGTACTTTCATTAATATTTGTTAAATAAAAAAAATAACTTAAAAGTGTGAAGTAAGATGTATACATATGAGATGAAAAAACATCATTTAAAACCCTCATTAATTTAAAGCATGGATCTCTGAGGCACTGACTCAACAAAATATGAAAAAAGTTCAAGGCGGTGTAGATTTTCTATAGGCACTGTATGCAGTCCCTCCCAGATGTATTCATATCCTAGTAAAAAAAAGGAAATAAAATAGCATGTACCTGTAAAAGGTGTAGACTGAATACTGTGTCTTGCTTAAGAAATTCCTAAACATGTTGCCGTGTTAACTTAATATCATTGCACAGAACAATGTAATATTTTTCAGAAAATAATTGAATTCCAAGAAAATATGACTTTGCTCTGAGTAGTACTAGATACTCCTCTGACATGCACATATTGTACCTCAAGGTTTTTTAATAATTTTACAAGCTGCCAGCTGCACAGTGCCTTGTAGGAAAGCTCGCTATGACTGGAGGGGGAACACTCCCTCTCTGGCTCCATTATATACCCCAGCTGACACAAGTGCATCCTAACTTTGCAAGTAGTGTACCACCACTGTGGGGATCGTAGTGACTGTCAGACAATGCATTGATCCGGATCTGAACCTGTGCTTCTGGCCTGCAGGCTTCAGCCTGTTTTTCAAATGGGGCCTTTACTGATTCAGCCACTTGGGAGCTAACACTTGGCAGGTCTTTCCAAAGGAAATATATTGCTCACTGTATATTAATACAGGGCGGAGCGGTGGCTCTGTGGTTAAGGATCTGCACCTGTGACCGGAAGGTTGCCGGTTCAAATCCCGCAGCTGGCAGAGGAATCCTACTCTGTTGGGCCCCTGAGCAAGGCCCTTAACCCTAACTGCTCCAGGGGCGCCGTACAATGGCTGACCCTGCACTCTGACCCCAAGCTTCTCTCCCTGTCTCTGTGTCTCCATAGAGAAAAGCTAGTGTATGCGAAAAGACGCATTCCTAATGCAAGAAATTGTGTAGGGCTAAAAAAGAAACATTAAACATTAACAACACAACATTAATAATATTACTAAAAATAAATATTTATTATCATTGTAGTTGCTAGATATGAAAATATGAAAGAAAGGACCACAAACTTGAGATGCTGATGGAAACTAAATGCCATAGAGCTGTAGTAATTAGATATGGTAAAAGAATGCCACAAAATAATGGCAAACATATCTGTTAATATTAGCTAATATCATACAGTATGCTTTAAATGATATAGAAATCATATTTAGTATAAGTTAATATCACAGCTATTTGGTTATTTATTTCTTAAATTAAATTCAGCAACTTCAGATAACCAAGTTGTTCTGTGCATTTCTAACGCATACCTGTTTGGGAGTTTTAACATCCACACATTTAAGAATTGGCCACAGAGGTTAGAGGTATCTTTTACAAACAATTGCATTACTATTCTCTCAAAAGTAACATGTGGGCATAAGTAATGCATTGTGCAAAGCTTAAGTTCAAACTTCTTACAGTTAATCTGTAGCATGGTTCCAAAAGTGATCAACTTGTCTTCTTATGTCAACAGGATGCACACCTTCAAACACATCATCCTTGAATGTGACAGTTGGAGGAATTGCTAAAATGCCATGTGGACTCCAAGATGAGCCATTAGAGGATCAAATTTTGTACCTACAAAAGGGTCAATTGGTACTGTTTGAACTGAAATATGGGACCCCAATAACAGAACATTTAAACCCTCAGTACTTGAACCGCACCTGGAAGGACCCAAACAGCTTGTCTGTCTTTTTTAAAGGTATCCAAATAAATGATGAAGGGGAATACAATTGCATTGTTCTTCACAAGACACGTTCAGGACATTCTAAAACACATTCATCAACCATCACTTTGAACACCTTCAGTAAGTTTTTTTTTTAATTTTGAGATAAAACTTTATTTCTTTTTAAATTTTGGAGAATTTATGTCACTTTCGGAATTTGTCAACAGTTGTTTAAATTCTGCTCACATCTGCTGTACCTGTGCATTCCTTGTCCCAACATGGAAGAGCTGTAGGCTACCTGCAAGCATGCAGTAACACAACCAATGCAGTTCTACACTGCAAATCCAGAGAGCAAAGCAGAAGTGTTTAGTAAGGTAGAAATTACCCATACAATCTATAAGGTCACAGACCACCAGCCATTTGAGCAAATCCTTGAGGACTCAACCATTCCTGAAGGTGCTTAGCCAATAGTTCATTGCTGTATGGGTATTATTGCATAGTTCTGTACAGAGGTACTGGTCTGGAACCAATCGATACCCGTAAACCATTTTTCTGTTTTACAATCTCAGGAATAAGAAGTAATCAATCACTTAGAAGTTCAGATTACTTTACTTCCAAGCTTCCAAAGCTTCCAAATAGCTTCCAAATCTTAACCCACAGTTCCTTCTGAAAGTATTGGGACCGCAAAGTCCAAAACTGTTATCTTTGCTTTATAGTCAAGCAATTTGTATCTGTGATCTTGAGATTAATATTGAAAGGTGCAATAAAATCAGTTTTGCTCCTGGATAATTCCACTGGGACACAAAGTCAGTATTTGGTTGCATATCCCTCTGTAACCTATTAAACCCATCATCAATTGTTTTCGTGTATACCCATTTTTTAATTTACAAATGTAATTCATTCCTCTAAAATTGTTCATAAGGTCAAAATTAGTCAGCTGAAAATTATTGTTACCTTAACAGAGCTCTGTGTTGTCATAGTAAGGACATTAGTACTTGTTTATGATGGCTAATTATTCTATTTACTGTAGTACAGTAGTTAACAAGATAAATCAAGTGTGTAAAAATGCTTTGTTGGACATCAGTATGCACAATGTACAGTAAGTGTAAATGACAGAATAAATCATAAGAAAAGAATAACATATTCTAGATTAAAACTCTTATTTCTAGAAAATCTAGAAAATTATGTGGTGGTGGTTATTGGTAGAAGTCATTCATTCGTGGGTGATGGTCTCAATGCTTATGAACCTTCCATTCATGTGAAGCATCAGTAGACTGCTTCGATGTTGATGTCTTGAAGCTGAAGCTGAGGTACATTGGTTTTTGGCAGCAGAAAAAACAAAGTGTTTGATTCTACAGCAACCTAATTCATTTGGCACTGACCACACCAACATTTTTATTGGGTCATTGGCTATGACAATTTGTATGTTTTGTCCAAAGTTGTCAAAAATTGAGTTTTAGTGTTTAGTTCACTCAGCACCTCATCATTGTCTTTCAACCCCTCCTAATCCAGCCCCAGATGAATTATTTTTCAATTCTTTGGTGTGTGAGGCTAACAGCTCCTGCTAATTTTGTTTGAGTCATTGAAACCTGTTTCAGTTGCTAATTTCACAGTTCTTCTTCTGAATGTCCACCACTTCATCTTGAAATCCCCAGCAAACATGGTTGCACTTTAGCAATTAGCTCTTCCAAACACCATTCATGTTGCTTGTGTAATTTTGCTTCTCACTCCTGCAATGCTGTCTGCAGCCATCGTTATATTGTAGTCCTTCTACCACAGCTTAAGATCATAAGAAGAGTTACAAAAGAGAGGAGGCCATCAGCCCATCTGGCCCATTTGGTAGCTAGATGATTCAAGGATCTAATCCAGTTGTTTCTTGAAAGAAACCAGGATATTGGATTTGATAACATGATTGAGAAGCTAGACACTTCAACAAGCCTTTGGGTAAAAAAGTGCCTCCTGTTCTTGATTTAAATGTATTTCCACTGAATTGTCAGTGCCTTAAAGAAGTTTGAATACTTGAATCAGATCCACTCATAGTTTCAGACTAAAACGGTTTAGTAAGTGTAAATATATGCTATAGAGGTAATGAGAAAATATTAGAAACGATATCACGAATTCAATAGGAAAACCTAAACCTTAGACATCAAATACTATATACAATACCAACAATTTGTTAACTTATCTCAGAAGATTATGTTTATATGTATGATATATGCTTAGAGGTACTGTAGCAAGGGAGAGGCATAAAAAACAAAAATGTAAATTTGGGACAGATAAAGACAGACAGACCCATTTTATCCAATCACAATCATTACTGACTTTTGCTCTGTTTATAACTCAAGCTCACACCTCTTCTTGCATTTTTTTGCTTTCATCCCGTCTCCACCCTCTTGGTGTATTCCCCTCTAAATTCAGGTCAAACCTCCTCATTCAATGGCCAGGGGTTAACCCAGGGGTTAATATACTGTAATATTCAATGAACTACAGAAGGGCATTGCTGCCATCAAGAAAAATGATCTTGTGATTATGTAAGCATTATCTTGTCATTACAAGATAGAAATGAATCTTGTTATTACAAGAAATAAATTGTCATTCTTAGAAGATAGACCATTATCAATAATTATTTGATACCAATGATCGTTTGAGTGTATAAATAAACTATTTCATTGTGCAATGACAGTGCCTAGAAGCTATTGATTGCTCAGCTGGAAATTTAGGTTAAGTGTTGGGAGACATTGTTCAACGCTGCAGAACGTGCATGGAATTATTTTCGACATGATGAAATGTTACAATTTGTAGCTAATGTGAACACAATCATTATAAGCATAACGACACTCAAATGTACACTTAAGAAAGGAAGACTGCATTATGCAGTCAATTCCACTGCTTAAAACTGAAAGTAAACTAATGATAATGTAGGTATTGTATGGTAATTGTGTTATCAGCTGATTGGTTCCAATACTCATTTGTTCCATTTTTAATGCTTATCAGTATTTAAACATTTAAAATTTGCCATGGTAATAATTAGAACAAGATCCAGTGTTATGTGGTTCTGCTGATCAAAAAGGAGAATTGTGCCCTTTGACAGAATGGCTTCATCCTGTATTATAGATCTCCATAGTAGACGTGTATTCCCCCAGAAGTCCCTTATTCCAGACTGCACACTCAGAGTGACAGGGCATTGTTTTTCTTCTACTAAACTGAAATTGTCCCAAGCTTACTGGAGACTACAATTTTAAAAAGAAACAAATATTGTTTTTTAGTAAGATTCAGTTTAAATAAGTTTTCTATTCCTTTCTAGTTCAGCTTTAACTTGGTAATATAAAAAATCACTGTTAACCTTTGGGGTTTCTCTGCTTTATCATTGAGTCACTAGGCTTCCAGCATTTTCAGAGAAATGAAGAGGTAAAAATAACCATATTTTAATGTTATATCTGAAATTCAAGAAACCTGGTCCTAGAATACTGAAAATTATACACTTTTAATTTCTGTTTACAGCATCATTGTTTTTCATTATGCATTTTTCCACAGAAGACTTCAGTGTCCCAGTAATCATCAAAATGACATCTGATAGTTATCTGAACTGTGGAGTTCCCATCAATCTCACCTGCATCTCCAGCCAGGGCTACCCAGAGGACACGTTGTCTTGGGACATCAAAGCGAAAAATGCCACCTGGCAAGATTGTGAGATAATTAAAACTGAAGCAGTAAGGGATCCTCACACCCAGCTGTTCAACCTCACCAGTGTCATGCAGATCAGTCTCACGAAAACCCTGACCATCTGTTGCTCAGTCAGAAACAGCTCAATTGTAATGGAAGTGAAATGCAATGATACAGGTGAGAGCTTATTATTGTTTTTTTCAGTTTTGTCAAGCACAACCACAGCTGCATGCAGGTTACTTGTGAATATGCCCTGAGAAGCAGTGGAGTGTCGTACTGTAACTGAACCACAGGGAATATATTCCCCTGTAAAATGAGGGCGGTGACATGTCTGCTGCCCATCACAGTTCAAGTCCATGGGGATGTGATTTTCATATTTCTGTTGATATGAATACATTTCATTTTTACATACAGGATACCGTTTTCACAGAATAGTTTCACTTTACCATCACCTTATAGACTACAATCTCTAGCTCCTTAAGGACTACTGTACCTCAAGAAGAAGTTAAAAGTCTAATTTAACAAATTAGCAATTCACATAAGTACCTATTTAATGCTGTGAGAGCTCTGAAGAAAGGAAAACTATCACAGTATCCCCATATCACAGATAACAGGTGTATAGCCCAGGATTGAAAATGTTGATAAAATATGTACTACAATGCCAGTACATAGCTTTGCAAAATTTACAAAATCTGTCTAAGAGGTAAGATTCTAAGAAATACAGAAGGTTAGGAAAGCTTTCAAAATTCAAGCAACAAGTAGAAGTCTATAATGGAAATTCCTGGGGTTTTCTCAGATAAGAGTTTCCATGAGTATTAATTAAAGTGTATGCTAGTCACTCATCCAGTGTGTGCCAAAAGAAAAAGTGAACTGGCATGTATGCAATTTCATGTTCTGTAATGTCTATTGGAGGGAAAAAAGTAAGTTTCATTTCTGGTATCTACCCTGTACAGAAGAAAAAGATATACTGTATGTGCATAGATATTGGTACACTTTGAGGGGCAGAGGCTCCATTAAGGTGGAATCAGCACTGGGACAAGGCTACAGCCTGCACAATGCACCATTCCCAGTGACAGTACAATGAGGTACGATGAGGAGCAAAGTTCAGCTGGGTTGTTTTGAACACAAAGGTAATCTTTTCTTGTGCTGAGACTGCAGGCAAAGAGCCTGAAGGAAGAGAAGGAGGTTGAAAAAAAGGCTGAGCGAAGCCTGTTTTCGCTGTCAGGAGGAATAAAAAAACTGTTGTCACATTAATGGCATTGAAACCAAAGTGGGAAATAATGTTTCAGTAGTGGCTTTTTATAGGTCAGCAGAAGACTTCTGATAGCCTAGATGGAGCTCTAACCAGGGAGCTGGTTTGGTTTGTGAAGCCCAGTTGTGGTAGCCAACACTCCAAGGCAGCAAAATATAAGTCAAAAATTTTGTAATGCTTTAAAAATCTAATAATGGTGATAAATATAATGAAATGTCCTTTACATAAGTAGTTTTCATATTACTCAGTATATTACTGAGAATATTAATATTTTCTCTTTCACTCTTTTAAGTGCGCATAGACCCTATAGTTCCTCCTCCTAGTTCAAGACATGCCACAGGAACTGGGATTGCAGTGTGTTTTTTTGTGCTGCTTCTGATTGGAATCATCATCAGAAAAGTGGTCCAGCAGGTATGTTTCTAGTTGGTTGTTTTCCAAGTGCTAAATTATTTTCTGATGTCTTCTAAATACTGTATAGGCAATAACAATAAAGTTGTGTGTGAGGAATAACTTTATGAATGTCCATAGGGCAAATTAATTGATTGGTTCCAGAGAAAACTGCCACAGTGCATGAAGATGTACCGTTGTATGCAAACCATACAACTGTACATCATTAGTTGAAAACTGATGAAACCAAGAAAAATCAAGTTTTATTTTTTTCAATCTGTGAAATTCAGCAAATAAATAGTAACTGTGCATTAATATTTGCAGAAACATGTCAAGTTTAAGTTTGTTCGCTGCAGAGGTTGTGTTAACTTCTTTTCACTTAGAAAATCACAAAACATGTAATTTGGCCAGGGGTGCCCAAACTTTTGCATAAAACTGTAGATCAGTTATGTGGTCACTGATGTCCAGTGACATCTTACCACTGTCATGTGGTAGCAGTGCAATGACAAAAAAACAGCCTTCATTTGCTAATGATTTAAAATTCACTTTTAAACTGAACATTGACCCAAAGCACGTGGCTGACGCTACACTGGAATGAATCAAGAAGAAAGTGAGAGTCCCAGTCAAAATCCTTACTTGAATATGATAGAAAAAATGCAGACGTGATAACTGCAGTCCATCATTTATCCCCAATGAACTTTTGTCAAAATTGCAATCATGTTGCTTGTAAGAATAGACAAAATTGTACTAAAATGGCAAAATTGGTCAACAATTTTGACAGTAATTGCTTTCAAAGTGCTTCCACCACATACTGACCAAGATAACTTAACAACAATTCTCCACTTCACTCTGCCTTTTCTCCCCATGTGCATTTTAATGTACAGTATATACTTTCATATCAATATGTTAATATATATAATTTATATTGATGTATAAATTTGATGCATGAAATTTTAAAATGTGAAAAGCATTAAAACACTTAAAATGTTTTTTTTTTCTTATAGGAGTAAAATGAAATAAGGAATGAACAATGATTTTTCTAATCAATAGTCCATGCTGCTAAGACGTTTACAATATTTAATACATTTTTCATGGTGCCAAAAAATAGTTTGACAAGTAGTTTCTCAAGTTGAAGAGCTTAAATCTTTCTACCCAGAATCAGTGATTGAAATGAAATGGGAATGTTCCACTCTTACGAAAAACAGTCACATTTGTAAATATGCAGTCCTCTTACTAAAAGCCAAAGGATACATAGAGTGAAATATCAGGATATTTTTAAATAGAATGTCTGCTGGAAGATGTTCCTTCTCTGGAATAACACTCCTTCTGACAACTTCAAACTGAAAGGCTGCCCATGCTCTGGATCTACAGAGATGATGAATGTGCCTCCTATAAAGGACAATCTTTATCAAAGACAAGTCATGGAGCCTTGCATAACTAGGAGGCTTTTCTGATTGGACACTGCTTACTACTACCTTCTGGCCTCCATTTTCTGAACATTTCCTTACATTTATACAGCACTTTTCTGGAAACTCCATTCAAAGCACTTTGCTGGTAATGGGGACTCCCCTCCATCACTACTACCAATGTCCAGCACCCACCTGGATGATGTGATGGCAGGCTTAGTGCACCAGGACGCTCAACACACATCAGCTATCAGTAGGGAGCAGAACGGAGTGATGAAGCCAATTCATAGATGGAGATTATAAGAAGCCATGAGTGGTAAAGGTCAATGGGAAATTTGGCCGGGACACCAGGGTAACAGCTCAATTTTTTTCTAGAATCACCCTGGGATTTTTAATGACTACAGTCACGACTCATCCGAAGGACGGTGCCATTTTGGGTGAGCGCCCCCTGCTGGCCCCACTAACACCTCTTCCAGCAGCAACCTTAGTTTTTCCCAGGAGATCCATCCAGGTACTGACCAGGCTCACACCTGCTTAATTTAGTGGGTTGCCAGTTGTAAGTTGGAGTGTGATATGGTTCAGAATAACTTGAAAAAATGATTTTTTCCAGGGGGTCTCCATGGCCAGTGTGAATGTCTTCCACCAACACCTCCAGGACTGGAGCCTTTAGTACCCACGTTATTTAGGAGAAGAAATAGAAGCGGGCCATAATGTTTTGTTATGGCTAAACACTGTTGGGACATTTTTTTTTACTTCTAGATGAAGTAGGATATAGAATGTAACTTTCACATAAGTTTAGTTTACTGAAAAACAAGCTTGTTGTACTGATGTTTTGCAACCATAGCCTAATAATGTGCCAAAAAGATTGATTTCAAATATAGCACACAAATAGAATGGCGTGCTATATTTAAGGGCAGATTAATTCTCTTAATTTTTTATTGTCCATGTGTACAAACAATAATGCATTTTATATTATAGCAATTATCCTTGATGTACAATGTGTCAAAATATCTATTCATATAAACATTTACCTTTCTCTTTGGCAGTACCTCTTTTAAAACTACTGCAATTCAGATTTGGGGGAATAAATTTATGACATCAAAACACTCCACTGCAACTATAAACAGCAGGGTTGATGTACTATACTACATTCCATGTTGTGTATATATTAACTTCTGTATATCATACAGCCATTAAAGAAACTTAAAACTGATTCAAGAGAAATGTCTTGCGTGCAAAGTCCTCCTATTGGGATTTTTAGCTGAGACTAAAATCAATCAAAATTATTTTTTCCTCTCAGTAATACAGAATGAGGCTGGTAGAATTTATGTCCCATCTCTACCAAGATTTCACAATCACCCCCCCCCCCCCCCCACTCTCCTACTGACAAGGTTAAAGCATTTTCAAAGACTTTCAAAGATGGTTATCTCCTTTCTCAATTTACCATTTTCTATGGCATTGCAAAGACTCCTTATCAAATGATCCTTTATATAAAGACTAAGATAAAAATGGGTGCTTCCTTTATGGAATGATTAGTATTACCAGATTTTACATTTAACTGGACCATCCATTTTTAACTATATCTGCTGTTCAGGATCACAATCTCCATTGCAGCATTTGTTTTCAGAAAAACTTAGATTGGACATTCATTTTCTGCAACAAATCCCACCACCCTCTCCCTATGTGCTGATGTGAGCTTTGCATGTGTTCATACATTCCCTTTGTGGGGAATTCTGCATCAGCAGATCTTGAGTCATGGTCATGCTACTAGCCAAATGTGTGTTACTATCTAATCTTACTCACTGGTAAAAAATAATCTCTGCCTTTGTAATTTTGAAAACTTTGAAAAGAACGAACAAAAACATTCATATTTGTGCACAGATTTCTATGCTGTTGTTTATCATACTAATGACTCAGTAGCAACATCCACAGCTAGACTAGACTATATCCAATAACAGATTATGCAAAGGTCACATGGGACAAAACCATAGAGATTGGGAATGATTAATTGGAAATATTTTCATATTGGGTAGCTACTTTATCTTTAACGCCTTACCCAAGTACAAACTATATGCATCTTTTTAGCTTCTTTTTAGATTCCTTCAGTTCGTACTTTATCAGACTCCTCCTAGGGAATAAGGACCCAAATTCCTTTCCTAGATTCACATCGGGGCTTTCCTTCTTATGTAAAAAAAAACTCATGTGTGAAAGTTAACACATGCAGCTTGGGCAGAAAAATATTAAAAGTTAGCTCATTAAATTCACATTAGACCCAAGCATTTATTGTAAGAAAAAAGATAAGATACATTTAACTGAAATGAAACTATGATGGCTCTTGGGTTCTGGGATTGAGTTCAGACTGGAATACTATTCCAGTGTAAATGCAGTGGTACTTTCCTCCTCCTCCTTCTAAAGACATGCTGGCTGGGTTTATTTCCATCTCTTCTAGGGAAACTGCAGTGGCAATTACTTAGATCGGTTATTAAATCTTGGTAACAAAATACATTAATTAATGTTATAAAAAAACTTACAAATTTTGAAGTAAGCACAAAATTGTGAACTTTGGAAATAGTACTTTATGGCCACCATGTTGAAAACTGCTGGTCTCACCACAGGCAGCCCACTAGCACTATTCAACAGTATAAGTAAATGAGAAACTGCTGAATAAGCAGTCAAGAAAAGAAATAAATAAATGAAAACGTATTTAATGTAATGATTCATTTCAAGGTTCTGAAACCTGAAATCTGAGACACACAAGGTGCAACTGATGGGGTGCTACACCATGCTTCATACTCATCTCATGACAGCTGTCGAAATCCTTATACTCTCCAGCAGTCACTAGGGATGTTCAGGTAAACAGCATTAAAGAACAATAAGGTAATCGTCTTTTGAATAACATGAGATGGTACTTCCTGCTATAATAAAAGGCTGCCAGGATGTTAACAAGAAAAGAAAAATTCAGGAACGTGACGTGTGGCAACACTATATTTTTTCAGAAACCCACAGCTTGTACATTCACTTCAAGACAGCAGAACAACCTTGATAAACTCAAAGCTAAAGCAGAACTATTCGCCACTAGGCCTTAAGCATGGTAAACAGACTTAAATATCCATCATTGAGAATTTTTTTACAAAACACTTTAAAAAAATATGAAAACATTTTTATAGATTCTCTTTTAGCAGAGCACAAATAGTCTAAAGGCTAAAAGAAGTCTGAGGCCTTGGGTCTGCTTTTTCCCTGCAGAGGGTTCTTCGCCAATTTTCTCCGAGGTCCGGGCTTGTCATCAGGAGTCTTCAGGACCCCAAACAGGGGTTTCTGTTGGGGGTCAAAGACCACTCGGGACGTTCCTGCCGGACTCACCAACAAGCTTTTATCAGTCTTTTTGAATTCTGAAAGGAAAATAAAAACATAGCTGTAATGGTTGTACTCCATCTGCTAATAAATGCTGTTGGATAAACCATTTATTGTCTGGACTTTGAAAAGAGCGCAAAGCAATGCAACAAGAACAATTCCCATTCTCATCCATAGACGTTTGTCCTCCACAGGGCATAAACATACTATTATTCACTTCATTTTGCCACCCTATTTTCAATCTTAATTTCTTCTATTCCTGAAGAAGGGTGAAGGCACACATGGAAACATAATCTGAAAACAGCCAATTAAATTACAATCTAGCCATATTCTTTGTCTGGAATCTCTGGGATCCTTTAAGAAATAACTGGAGATGTTTCCACCTTGTGGGGGATACCCACTACACCCGATAACATCACAACCAATCACCAGCTTTAAAAGATGTTGCACAAGGCAGTCTGCAGTGCTTTCTGAGATCCTGCCACCTGACAATGAACTAATCACAACATTGACCACTGCTGTCTAAACTACAACAGCAACTCAGCTGAAAGGCAGAGAGAGTGAATGTAAATTTTTAATCACTGAAAAATATATACATAGACATTGTCGACACCACTGAATACCAATAAACACTGAGCACAATACAGGTGGGTGGTCTAAGTCTCTCCATCTGATTTATCAAGTCCTGAGACTCCTTCCAGTGGAAGACTCAACTGCACTGCTAAAAACGGAACACTTCCTTCTTCCTTTGCCCAAAGGAACAGCCTATTGCAACAATGAAACCGTATATTGTGTTTTTTTATCTTAAATCTTTATATACAACGCTGTTCTGATTCCTAGTACCCCAACAGTCCCAAATACTAATTAAATCAATTCAAACAACCAAATCACTATAACACCCATATATAAACTCAGAAGATTGTAATTTACAATTGAAGAAAACAAAGACCCACATCAACACAAGTGGTTATTAAAAACAGAATAAACTACCCTGCTATACTACAGAAGGTGACCTATTGAGATTGTAGGACTTGCTCTGTGCAAAGGATTTTTTTGTGTGAAGGACATGCTATATAGAGACCTGTTATTGTCACAAAGAATCTGACAGAGTTTGAACAAGCATGTTGACTCACATACTGTATTTATGGAAGTTTGTAGGAAGAAAGAAGGGTTAATTCTATATTGATCCTAAAACACTAGCTTCTCCAATGCCATTTAGAGTACTTAGAGGAAATATTTTAAAAGTATAAAAGGTGCTTATGAGCAATAGGAAGCAGATCAGACAGGGAGAGAATCACTTTGTCATTCTGATCTCCAGGAGGCTCCTTCATTACAAAATAAACCTGTTTCAAATCTTCACTGAACTACACTGTGATTCCTTGAATCTCTACAAGATCAAGTAAGAAAATTGTTTCATGAAGCAAGCAAGTCAGCTCCTGAAAAGAAACTCCTTTCATTTGTGAGATATGCTCTTTGTTGAAAAGGTGCGATCACAGTTTCCCTAGGACTCCGCCTCATGCTACACATACAATGAAACAGCCAAAATAAGGTGAAACCACAGAAATACTCAGCAACAACAGGTACCTGCAGTCTTGTTGTTCTTTAGTCCAAAGGTGACTTTCTTAGAGTCTTGTGGTGTCTTGAAACCCTACAAAAAAAGTCCATGAGTCATTTCTTTACAGATACCATTCCAGCAATGCCCAACAGTAGGAAATGAGTCCAACTGCATTAGGCGTAAAGATCTAGAGGGACAACAGTGACTCTAGCCATGCCAGAAGCTTTGAATAAGACTGCTGTATTTACATGCAGTGCCTTCAGAAAGTATTCAGACCCCTCTACTTTTTCCACACTTTGTTGTGTTGTAGACATATTTCAAAATTGATTTAAATTGATTTTTTTGCCATCAATCAACACCCAATACCCCAACAAAGAGACATGTTATTGCAGTAACACATATTGACATTGTGTGATATACACGAAAGTGGACCCAACAGTAGTTGTTTGCAGCTCAGGACAATCATAAGATACATGACTGTTCCTCACATACAGAGAGGAAAGCTGCACATCACAGACCAATTTTTATGTTATCTTTAAAATTAATTTATAATTAAGCCTGATGTCAGTTTAAAATACTGGAAGAACAACTACAGAACAGATATAAGGCACACTTCACCAGAACAGATGTGCCATTGAAAATTCCTCATTTCTGAGGAAATGTTCTCAAAACTGTGCTCCCTGGAGCAGTGAAATCTGGCACAACGGCCAAGTAAAGAGCCAGACCTACTCACATGACCTAATAAACTAACACCTCCCTTGCAGCTTTTTAAGATAATGAGATCACTTTGTCTACATAAAGCCGAAAAGATAAAAACTCAAAAATTAAACCATACCTTGCTTGACAGAAATGATGAGCCTCCTTTACGCTTCTTGAAGAATAAGGGAGAAGGCACAGAACGTCTTCCGAACTTCAGGAATTCAACCTCTTCTTCCAACTTGCCTGTTTTTAGAGGCTTTTTCATTTTCTTCAGTTTTAAAGTGGCTCCACTTACCTGTGACACAGAAGAAATTTGGCAGACAATGGTGTCAAGGCAGGCAGGCTTGAAAGGAGATCACAGTCTTCCATGGGATTAATCTCTGTAGACTTTTGTTTACTTTTCCTATTGTGTTTAAACTGCCAAGTTTATTTATTACTGTAAGGTCTGTGCATGACATCTTTCAAAATCAATTTTTTAAATGACTCAGCACTTACAATCAACATGTCCTAAAATGTACACCATAATTGTTGAGTCATAAAAAAGCCAGTACACTATGTCCTCAAAAAGTTTTAAAAAGACCAGTCTAAGGATTTGTGAAGTTCAAGGCCTATAATTCAAAGATACAAAAAAGAGTCTTAATTTTGAGACATAACATCTATTTTATGGGATTTGTCACCCATATTACAGATGTTACCTCCCTTCACATAAAGAGATTTAAAAAGTTCAAAATGTAACACCTAAAGCACTATGAAGACTGATTCTGTCAGATTTCAAATGTAAGCAAGGCTAGACCAGTTCAGAACTGGGAAGTAAAAACAAGATTAAGCTGTGTAGCACAAAGTTTGCTAATCCCACTTTTTCAGTTAAATTCCACATCAAGCTTGCTCATCTCCAGCCTAGCAAAGCCTTCCCCTCAGTTTTACTAGTAGAGCAATTTCTCACATCCCACTGCTCTGCTGGGGTGCAAAATGGCTTCTGTGAGTCAAGATGTAAGGAACTAAAAAAAAACATTTTTAAGGCCAGGGTTCTTTTAAGGGGCCAAAAGGCAAACCCTGAAAAAGAAGCAGCTGTAGCTCCTCTTATTAAAGCCTGTATGTAATTAGTTGCCAGGATGGATAAATGTTTGAAATCCTTACTCTGTTCTTCTTCCTGGCCTTGGTTTCTCTGAAACCATTCAGCTCACTGGCCTCAGCCTGCCCTTCCAGCTTCTTCCTCTTATGCAGTTTTCGTTCACTGGTTTTCTCAGGCTCTGCTTCCACAACCATTTCCTTCCCCTGGGCCTGTGTCTTTGTGCATCTTTCATCATTTGCTGGTGGGTTTTCAGGTAGTAAAGCCACAGTGTTGACCTGCTGCTTCTTCCTCCATTTCTTAATTTTCAGAGAAGTCTGCTTCTTCAACACACACTGTTCTTTGCCCTCACCCTCACCTACAACCCTCTCCTGAGAGGGGACCTTCTTTTGTTTCTTCTTCATTAGTATTTCTCCAGCCTCCACCTGCCCAATGCTGCAGGAGGACTCAGCCTCAACACTGGGTTCCTCTAGTTTCCGCTTTTTCTTAAGCTTGAGTGTCTTTTCTGCAGGGTGAATAATTGCTGTAGTTTCAGGTTCTTTGTCCTCAGTGGAAGGGCACTCTTGCAAGTCTGGCAACCTCTGAGTCTTCTTTCGCGTTTTCTCCTTTTTCTTCTTCTTGGCTGGGACAGCTGTCGGCTCTACTGACTTGGGGTCGGAAGCCTTCAGAGGCCTTTTTTTTGTACCTGTCAAAACCAACACACAATCAATATCAGAAGTTTCCATTTAGGAATATCACAACTTGCAGTACTTCAATCCAGCCCAAAGGAACTTAAAGTTCCTTAAAGTTAAAGTGTAAAGTAAGATTTGACAACTGTGATTCACACTCCTGCATCCCGGTTTAGGTTGGAACACAATCTCAGAATATGGAGCTTTTGCCTAGAATGCTCTGAGAAAGACTTCTGCAGACAACTCCAAGTGTGAATAAAAGGAGGGAGGAAAGGTGACATATAGCATGTTTGGATGCTAGTAGCCAACTAATCTTGTGAATTTAATCCACAGACCTTTCACACATCTCCTTGATGTTCGTTTACCTGAATCTCTAGCATTTCACATTCCTTTTGCTTTTCTCACTCCCCTCTCCTCCACAACCTGAGAACAACTCTACCACCAAAACACTTTGTGCTTTCCTGTATGGGATTAACCTCTGCTTGTCCATCTGCACACTGACACAGCTCTAGCCAATTTATAATTGTAACCATTCACAGTAAGACAGTGCATTTGTATGATTGCAATGCTCAGGTTTCATACCCTTCTCAAGAGATATTTGAAAAAACAAATTATATACATATATCAGAGTAAGGCTTGCATTAGAAGAAACCCATTCCCTCTCTGATGTCTGAAAGTACCATGCATTCATTCATTTTCTAACTGCGTACTACTGGTGAGGTTCGTGATGGTAACAGGCAAACCAGACTTGCCTTTTGCCAGACACAGTCCCCAGCTTCTCCTGGGCACTGGCACTCACTGTCCAGCTGAGAGATATAATCCCTCTGGACCCAGAGGAGCAGGAACTCTACTCCAGGATCCTCTCGGATTGCTCCTCACCCTGTCCCAGAGAGTCAGCCCCACAGAAAGCTCATTTCCAACTTGTACCACAGATCTCATTCTTTTTCGATCACTATTCAAAGCTTGTGATAGATTGTGTAGGTGCTGATGGGATCCCATCCTGGGATCGTGTTCTTGTTGTGGAGGGGCTTGAGTGCCCTATGGAGCCTTAGAGCTACACTGTCCCAACCCTGGAGCTGAAAGGAAATGTTTGCTAAATTCTACACTATCCTCCAAATTCTGTCATAAAATGGACAAATACCACTGATCAAATTAAATACCGTAAACCTCAGAGTTTATTACTGCACCATTTAACTTTACGAATATTTATATACAATGCATCTTTCTGAGAAACATTAATAAGAGATTAATCACCCATCTTAAAAAATAACTAAAGCCAACGTATTGCATGGTGTTCTGGATAGGTCAACATTCAATCATTAGATCACTGGAGGATCTTTGCTCATGCCAACAATTAAAAACAGTCTTTGGCTCATGAGGTGTACCTTGGCCCTTCTCTCCACTTGCTGGGTCTTCCTCCACATTCCTCCTCTTCTTCTTCTTCAATCTCTTGCGATTGCCAAACAAATCATCATCTTCATCAGTGGATACCTCTTCTGTGTAACCGTCCTGGGGAAAGACACCTGGAAAGGTAGGAAAAGCAATGCAGTCAATCATCACAAAGCTTGGATACTCCTTCGCTATTGTCTCCTGAAAGCACCATGTCAGACCTCATCAGTCACACTTCCTGACTTCACCTGTATTTCTTTATTACAGCTCTGTAGATCTCAGTTAAACAAACTATAGCAATATTTATTCATTTCAATGATTTGGTGAAATGAGGACTGCCAATTTGTTGTATACAAGTATTAAACACCCTACATATGGTATCAGCTGGACCGCTAATGTCTTTTACCCATTACAAGAAAGCTGAGTTTTTAGTCTCTTACCAGATTTCTAGTATAGACATTATCGCCACCTACTGAAAAGATGGAAACCTACACTGAAAATATTAAGTACAACTACATCTGCATAAATTACATACACTTAAAAATAATGACAGGCATTTTTGGCAGCATGATCAACTAGTCAGCAAAAAGCTTTTGTGCTGTGATTTTTGAATGAGTGGAACCTTGTCTGAATCCTTAAAGGTTGGTATATCTGAAGATTAGTGCTAAATAGCAAAATGGCACGTGATATTTAAAATTGAATAAACTGAATACATTTTTGTTATTGCTACCAAGAAAAGGAATAGGTAAAAAATAAAATGTGTACTGTTTTGAAAAAATTACAGAAAAAAAAGTGTTGACTACAATTTTCCATAAACCTGAACCATAAACTTAAATTTTTAGTATGTTCCTTACATTCCAGAACAGAGTATTTGTACACCAATGGTTCAGACACCAATAAACTAAGTTCACTGGAAGTTTTTCTTATTCTAAAAAAAGATTTAAAATAAGCTCTAGATAAACTTTGTATAAAACTTACAATTTCAAAATCAGATTCTGAAAAGCTGCATTTTGATTACAATAACGCAGTGGTTCTCAAACTGCGGTACACCAGATGACCCTGGAAATTTGTTGTGTACACTGAAAAATTGGGAATTTAAAATTATGTACATTTGTAATCTGTAATTTACATTATTGGTTTCAGAAAGCTTGAGATGAGTTTTCATATTTTCTATTTTAATAAAATTAGTTTGTGTGTCAAATACACAGCCTACTTACTTAGCTAAGTTGATACAGTGCGTACTAATACTGTACTTGAGTGTTCATACTCCTCTCAAGCTTTTAGAGACACAGCTTAGCGCCACATTCTCTAACAGAACAAGTGATCGAAAAGGGAATACCTCGCAAAAATCAAGTATTATGTCATGGCTGAAAGGAATAGACGCCAAGAGTACTTACACCAGCTCTGATAGATCACGCACACCATTTGAGAATGAAGAGGATTATACATCCGCCACTAGGATTACCAAATTTGTACATAAAAAAAAGAGGACACACTGTGGAACTTATCTGGGAAGGGGGTCGCAATGGAGAGGGTTTTCAAAATATCCCATGTTTTATGTTAATTGGTAAAGTAACTGTGATGATGTTTAACTGTGAAATGCAAAGTCCCCTATGCTGCAATAACAGTATCCTCTGTTTTGCTGCCAGACTTTACAGAAGAATCTGTTAATTTGGTTGACAAACTCTCTCCTTGAATTGCCTTTTTGTGGATGTCTGAGTCAACATGAGCTTGCAAGTCAAGTACACATTTATTTGCCATGGAGACAAAAGTACCAGGCTTACACACCAAACATTCAGCTTCCCCGTCTTCTCTGCCACTTCGAAAACATGGAAATGTTATTTTTTAGTTCTGCTCTTTTAGTTTACACTTTTGCATTGGCATTGTGTTTGAGGGTAGGAAAACGAGAAACAAAATAGGGAGCCTTTCAAGGGAATGTTTCAGCACTGCAGAGAGTGAGTAAGGACACCGATATTGATGCCCGATTTTGTTCTATCATGACAATCATACATGTACAGGACGAAAACTGAAGCGAACTGGAGAAGTTAAGAAATTCTCTTTCTTTCCAACCATCTTTATAAGTTTTAATTATTCTTCATGGTGAAAATAATGGGATCAAAATCCCAGACATTTCTGCACATTTGAAAATTCCCCCTGGACGGAAATATAAGGATCAAAATAGAGGACATGGCCGGGAAAATCCAGATGTATGGTAACCCTATTGGCCACCGACACTAGTTCTTCTGATGAACCTGACACAGAGAGCACTGCTAGTGATGGCAAGCATCGGAAAACGGCTAAAAGGCGGTACAATCCAAATTAACTAAGTGCTCAGTGCTATTTTTATTATATGTATGCTCATGTTGGTCATTGAGATTTTCTGTGGTTCCTATGAGAAGATGACTTGTAGGTGGAACTTGGATGCTTTGGTTTGATCAAGGGTAGCACTTGGTCCAAAAAGTTTGAGAACCACTGCAACAACCTATCACCAGTACACTCACTTTAAAGGGATATAAATTTTCAGTTATTAAGCAACAGAAGAACTACAATATGTTCAGTGAAAATATATATAATTTGTAATACATGTCAAAATCAAAGTCTTTATAAAAACTACCACTATTTAAAATATAAACAACTCCTTATATCTAATTGAAAAAAACCTTTAAAGATTGCACTCCATTTGTTTTCTCTTTAACAGTAGGGTGTTGATCGTCACAATGACTTAAGCGCATCAGTTCTTTCCTACTGTACATTCATTTACATGTGCATATACATAGGTATTTTACAACTCTTCAACAGAAGCATATCTGCATAAACAGGGTAACAACTTGCCCTTCAACGCATTTCCATCAAAATAAACTATTCTCTTGCCCGGAGTGGTAGTGAAATGGAGAGACACTTCCTTGCTAAACCTGCTAGACAGGAGTTTCTTCCACTGGGACTGGGAACAGCACTGTCACCTGCCTTTCAGAAGAAGTCCAAAGAATGCTCTCCTGTAAAGTGTGCACATACTTACCATACTATTATTCCATAGTCTGACAAAGGTGTTTAGTTTTCTTTGCTGAAATCTGTCCTCTATTTCAGTAAATTGTGAAGTTGTGAAATTCATGTTTAAGTTCCCAGTAGTATTAAATCAGTTGTTTCTAGAATAGGTGAATATTCCACTATTCTATGCAGATTTTAGTTAGTCCTGCTCTCAGATTAACAGGGTCTCATCACACAAAAAAATCGCCCTTTAGTCAGGTTCAGAAATACTGTAGCACAAAGCAATACAAGAGTACATTGCTGTAGTACTGTTTAAGTAATTCAAGGCTCCAAGTTGTTCTTTAATTTCTATGGTATTGATTTTGTGCTTGCTATTAACATTGAAGTTAAGTCATTTTTAATGACTTTTTTTCCCATTTAAAACTCACTCTGTATCTTATCAAGACAGGAAGCTATCTTCTTAGAAATTTAAAGACTACTCTGTGAAAGATGAGCTTAGTGTGGTGAAGTACAGGGACTCCCCAAATAAATGTCCCCATTGGAAATTAAGTTCACAAACAAGCGATTGAGAAGAGCTAAAAACATTTGGACAACAGACATGACATTTAAAAAACATCATTTAAAACACTTCATCTCAGACAAGGTGAACTATGGAATACGGAAATGTCAATTTCACTTTATCATCACATCTAATTTTAGATCAATACCAATTTCTTCCTTTTATCACCAGTACTATCATTTATTTTCCCACTTATAATTTTTAAAGATTGTAAAGACATTTCAATATAAACACAGCAACACAGAGGACAATGGGAACCATAAAAGTTGCTTTGTATGCTGAGTGGCTAGTGATGTAGTTAAGTTTGAATTTTACAACACCATAACAGGAATCCTTACCTTCACTTAGGTCTTGAAACCTGTGAGAAAGAAAAATACAACAAATTAATTGCTCATGTTTATTGTGCTTTGCAATGTACAGAGAAACATTTTAATATTAAGAACCTGTGTATAATTGAACACTTCAATCACTTGTATTTCAATTTTTTTTCTTCCCCATGGAACTGGATGGCTGCACATTTCCAAAGCATTTTTAATCTAGTAATTTCTTTTTAACCTTTTTATTCCTAAAATCACTTTTAAATTCCATTATGCCACCCTGATTTTATTAATCTACAAACCTTTGGAACTTTTTAAGAGACTGTCAATCATGACCATCTGTTAGTCTGTTAATACTTTCTATTTGATTCAAGCACACAGAATAATTTATACCTAGCACTTTTACACAGCTTTTAGGCCTAAATTGATTGCTTTAAATTGAGCAAAAGAGGTTTCAAACAGAAGTTTGAGAAAGTGTTTGCAGTACATTAGCTTTCATTTGCTTATCATTATAATATGCATGTTCTGGATAACTGTGTCAGATATCTGTATAGGTTCGGAATTTAATACATGACAACCGTTTCTCAATGGACTGCTGAAGTTCAAATGCAATAAATCAGACACCACACAGACTGCTGATGTTGCTTACTTATTTGGTTAAACTCAGCATTCAAAAATAACACTAATACATTTGTGTAAAGCTTTGTGATATTCTATATTGTTAAAATATAATGACATTTTGTCCATAAAATGTGGCATAAAGTCAAAGAAAAGGCATTTTCTAAAAGAGACAACCACAGATCAGTTCTGAAGTAGAATCATGACATACTTCTTAACCAGCCTGTACAACTTCTTCCTGTTTAGGGGGGGGGTGTTTCTCCGGCTTGTCAGGTCAAAGAGACGACCAGCAATGGCCTTGTAATCAAACTGTAACACAAAGATATTCTGTGAGCAGACCTACACAACTACAAGGAGACACCAAACTGCCAGTTTCACAATAGTGAAAGGAACTACAACTCTTTGTCCACCAAGAGCTTGCAGAGAGAGTAACATGACCAACATTGTGACACAAGGGATTCAATCATTAATTTTAATTGACCTGCAAATGGATAAAATGAATAGGCCACATAAATGCAAAAAATAAGAATAAGAAGTTAAAATCAAGGGAAACAATCCAGCTCTTAACCTGTAACTAACTGAACTACCAATTACCTGAACATATGTTGTAACACAACTTTCCCCAACAGATTTATTCATTACACCAGTGAAATATAAATAAAAAGCATCATATAACAGAATGTGTTGGAGATTAAATAATGTGCTTCAATTTAAAAAAATCTAAAAATGGTAGTCTAATCAACATAGCAGTATACTGAGGGTCACATTTATTTTTCTATAATTCTGTGCCTAACTATTGGAAAGGATGTTAAAGCAAATAAAATAGATCTGCTTGTTCAGGATCACTGTCTTGATGCATGAATTGCTTTTGCCTTAGCTTAAGCTGATGAATTGATCACCTGACATTCTCCTCCAGAATTTGCAGATACAACACCAAATTCGTGGTTCTCTCAATGATGGTGTGCTATCTGGGTCCAGAGGCAGCAAAGCAGCCCTAAACTCTAATACTTTAACCACCATGCTTAATGGCCAGAATTTTCATCAAACAAAACATTTCTCATTGCAACCAAAAGGGTAATCTGTCCAGGGAACATTTTTCCAGGAGTCTTGTGGATCTTCTAGGTGTTTTTTAGTGAGCTTGAGACTGGGAGGTAGTTGAATCAACATTAGCCACACTGAGAGACTAACAACTTTTGCTCTAAGGGAGATCTTGGCATGAGGACTGATTCTGGGAAGAGTTACCATGACCTCCCATCTGTAATTTATAATTAGTGGATGGATGGAGGCCAAGAAGTTTAGAAATGTTTTTTTAGGCCTTTCCAGACCGACAGAAGAAAAGAATCTATGATTAAACAAATATATCACAATAAGAAACGAATTCCCCTAATTTTATATATTCTGAAACTGTAAATCATGTTTACTTTTTAAAAGTAAAGTGTTTTTTATATGGAAAGCTTTGTTTATAGCATTGTTAAAAATACTGAGCTCAAATTGTAATTTAATACCAATTTATAAAAACACAGAAGATGTCATCATTTTTTTTTAAATGCAGGTTTGTGGGGGAGCTGGAGTCTATTGGTACAAGCAAAAGGCCCAAGACATGATACACCCTGGGTATTAAAGGGCAACAACAGATGAGCACACACCCACAGCAGGGACAATTCTCCCAGAAGCCAATTATACTACCAGTATGTGTTTTTGGATTGTAGGAGAAAAGCGGAGCACGTGGAGAAAACACATGCCAACACAGGGAGAACGTATAAACTCCATGCAGGTAATACCCCAGAGCCAGAATTGAAGTGCAAATTCAGTAAACCCTGTTCATATTAAATGCTTCTTCAAAAAGAGGATAGTCCTCTAAAATGTGTTTTGTTACTGGGTTTGGTCTAGCACATTAACCAAAATGATTTTAGTGGATTGACAGTGTCTTACACAATTTCGATTGGCAAACAAGTGCCAATCCACTATTACCTTAATACTGCACGCTGTATTTACCATGTTTTTAAACAAACGAGTATAACAAAAAGGCTAACCTGAAGCACAGGTCCTATACCATCCCCATCACCTTCAGATGGTTCATAGCCATTTTCCAAACCAACGAGGTCTTCATATCCCTCATCTTCCTCAGCTGCCATTTCACCTACAGCAGATAGAGCCCAGTCTTCAGTGATATGAAATCCTGAATAATTCTACCACCTCAACAGGCACATTTCTGTAATAATGTAAGACAGTGTGGCAGCTACATTACTATTTGACAAAAGCATTCTTACACAAGCCATTTTAATCAAGCTTGTTGACTCAACCATTTAAGGCCCCTGCTCAACATGAAGTTTGACTCTTAGAGATTTAGAGTTCATACGTACATTCCAGCAATCAATTTATTTGCACTGACCACAGAAAACAAGATTTCTCTGCATTTTTTAGGCTCTTGAGACAAATGTGATTGTTACTTGTCCCTTAAAATGTCTAAAGGTATTTAGTTTTTCAAAGGTGGTATATTCCTTCTGATTGGAAGTCAATATTTCATCACACTTGAAAATTCTAATGTCAGTGTTGTACAGCAGATATTGATATCACTGCATCAGACAACTGTAAATAATGTGTATTTACTCTGGCAGTCTTGCAAGTTGCTCTCTTAGAAAATGAGGTCTAATACCTGAAGTGCATTATAATCAAGCATAAAGCACACATTACTAGTACCTACCATTTATCTGGTCCTCTTGAGAATCTTTGGAGTTTTTCATAAGATCTTTGTCTTCCAAGTCCAGTTCATCTTCTGAGTTATTCTCTAGCTGTTGAAGCTCCTTCATCAGGTCCTCAATGGCAAAGGGAGCCTGGTTAAGAACCTCACTGAAGATGTTGTTGCAGATGGCCTGCAGCAGGAGGTGGCTGCAAGATGGAGAGGAGATGGAATATGCTATAGCAGAAGGACGGGTCTGATTGCACATGAAAACTAGGACACTCATTTTTGTTACCAGCAGTTAACAGCTAGTTAGCAGTTAAAAACCTGCATTTTATACATGAAATATGAAGAAAATTAAGACATTGCACTTAGGAATGAAAACAACTGACTGGTGTGCAGAAAACAATGTTACAGTGTCAGACCTGTCAAAAACTGGCTTGATGAAATAGCTTGACAGTAGTACCTAAGTGAGTCAGATGTAAATTCTTATTTTCCTGTCCTTGTCAGTTATTTTGTTTCAGTGTACTGAACACTTATGAGATTAGAAGGGAACATTGGGGCGTTTCTTATTCAGGACAATTTGGTTGTCAACCTTCCCCTGGTTAGTAGCTTTTGAACATAGTATTACATACTTGGCCGCAGTAAAGGATTGGAAGGGCAAAATACAATGGTTTGTTCATGTGAAGGTCACTATTAACAACATGGATGACTCAGTGAAAAAGACCTTGTACATACAAATGACAAAAGAGAAGGGAGACGTAAAGGTTGTTTCTCTGCCATGTCGACAGTCCCCAAATATACTAGGTCACAAACACAGCACTCACTGTGCAACAGCATCTGATTGAAACATTAAAACATTTCTCTTGAAACATTAAAAAATGAAACTGCACTTACTCCTTTGTTTTTGCAGCCACTTTGCAAAATGGATCAATGAAAATCAAGTTCTGTTCTGCTGTGAGCTGTAATGGCAAAAGGTATACATTAGCTTGACTAAATGTAGCAATTTTGACTAAAAGAGAAAAGTCTGACACTTTAATTGAAATCAGACATGGTATGCATTCCCACCTTGTGCACTTGTGTAACAGGGGGCACTTGAGGTTTTTGAAAACTGGCAGTGTTATTTTCTTAAATCTTTAAAATAGTTACATTCACACATAAGTATTAGCAGTGTTGACTCCAAGTGTTGGGAGAATCCATCTCAATTACTTTCAGGATCTTAAAAACCGCAAAAGCAAGCCCGATGAGAAATTCTGGACTGGATAGCCACTAAAAAAACTTAACTGTTACATCTTGTGTTTATATTAATAGCACATAAGTTAGATAAAACGTAGGTGAATTAAACGAAGGTGATTTACTTCACAACACAAATGTAATTATATATAAGGTTGTCTTCTCCTTCTTTGTAAATTATACACTCATAGTGCTACTCTATTAACATCACAAACTGACAGGCATCAAACACTGTTTATGTGCAACTGATTAACAGAAAAATTCTTAATTTGGCTTTTATTAATTTTTGCTTTCACCAAAAGTGACTTAAATTTGTACCTATTTGCACAGTTGTGTATCTAACTGGAGTAATTCATGTGAATTACCCTGCTGAAGTCAACTGCAGTGCCCCACCTGTGTTTTGAACCCACCAACTTCTAGCTCAGGTCCAGATTGCTAAACTCTCCTCCACACCACTGCCTCCAGAGATTTCCTCTTGAATTTCAAGAAGTGCTTGAAAATGAAACCCTGCCTAGCTTTCAGTTTGCTCCACACCAGTGGTTCCACACACAGCTGCCTGAGCACCAAGAACATTGCCATAGCTCTGTCTTGGTGTCTTACAATTTTAATGGTTTTACTATTTAGGTTTGAAAAAGGAAATATTGTATGCTAAATATATTTCAATGTTTTGAAATGTGCAATCACAGAAGGAAGTCTGTTGTGGCATACCGAAAGCGTTTCCTGCACCTGTTTAGCTACCCAACAAAAAGGAGGCAGTACAAACAATTTCTGATTTTATTCACAATGTTATGTGCCGCATTTGGATTGTTAGAAACGAAGGCATATGTCTGCCAGAATTAGCAGCAATGTATAAGTATAAGGAATTAATATTACAGCGCTTTTCTGTACACTCAACTCAAAGCCTTTTACAGGTAATGGGGGCTCCCCTCCACCACCACCAGTGTTCAGCCCCACCTGGATGATGTGACAGCAGCCATAGTGCACCAGTATGCTCCCCTCACACCAGCTATCAGCTGGGAGGAGAACAGAGTGATGATGGGGATTATTATGGGAAATTTTTGGCCAGGACGCTAGGATAAAACCCCTACTCTTTTAATGACCATAGATAGCCAGTGCCCTGGTTTTATGTCTCATCCTAAAAATGGTGCCTTTTTAAAGTATATTTTCCCCATCACTATACTGGAGCATTAGGACCCACATAGACCACAAGGTAAGCACCCCCTACTGGCACCACTAACACCTCTTTCAGTAGCAACCTTAGCTTTCCCAGGAGGGAAATGCCAGGAGCCATATCACTGCAACTCACAACTAGCAACCCACTGAAGCTAAACAGGTGTGAGCCTGGTCAGTACCTGGATGGGAGACCTCCTGGGAAAATCTAAGGTTGCTGCTGGAAGAGGTATTAGTGGGGCCAGCAGGGGGTGCTCACCCTGCGGTCTGTGTGGGTCCTAATGCCCGAGTATAGTGACAGGGACACTATACTGCAGACAGGCGCTATCCTTCGGATGAGACATAAAACCAAGGTCCTGACTCTCTGTGGTCATTAAAATTCCCAGGGCGCTTCTCTAAAAGAGTAGGGGTGTAACCCCAGCATCCTGGCCACAAATTTCCCATTGGTCCTTACCAATCATGGCCTCCTAATAATCCCCATCTATGAATTGGCTTCATTACTCTGCTCTCCTCCCTACTGATATCTGATGTGTGTTGAGCGTTCTGGCGCACTATGGCTGCCGTCGCATCATCCAAGTGGATGCTGCACATTAGTGGTGGTGGAGGGGATCCCCATTTCTTGTAAAGCGCTTTGAGTGGAGTGTCCAGAAAAGCGCTATATAAGTGTAAGCAGTTATTATTATATGTACAATGTTTTTGTAGTACAAGACAAAATTAACATGGCTCTATAGAACTATAGAGGCATAAAACTCATTTGTTATGGCAGCCAGATTTGATATAAGAGTATTTCAAGCAGGCTGAGCATTACATAAATTACCAAAATAATAAGTACTACCATTATATAGTATAATATATATAGTATATAGTATAACTATAATTATATAGTATAATTTGTAGTGCAGTTTTTGGTATCAACTAGTTAAAATGCAATGACTACTAATTTAGCAAAATGTAAAATATGTTTACAGGATGTTGTTTTAGTATTATTAGGAGTGATTTAAAAATAACATATGTGATTACTGTACACATAAAACTGTTGAGAAATTGTCAAGTCATCTTATTCAAGAACTAGTGAAAATAAAAAAGCAACTACAAACACATACATATAACACTAACTTAAAACAAATTTTTGCTACAACAAAGCAAATATTTTAATGTCACTTTCCTTCATATCCACATATGGATATCCACACTGGGTGACTTTCTAAACCCCATGATACAATTACCTACAGTTTCACCGAAGCCAGTGGTGGTTTAATCACTGATGTTTATCAAGAATTTGAGGAGAATTTCAGAAGAACTGTGAGCACACAGGTCTCATATCTGTCCTTCGGATGAGACGTAAAACCGAGGTCCTGATTCTCTGTGGTCATTAAAAATCCCAGGGTGTTTCTTGAAAAGAGTAGGGGTGTAACCCCGGTGTCCTGGCCAAATTTCCCATTGGCCCTTACCAATCATGGCCTCCTAATAATCCCCATCTATGAATTGGCTTCATTACTCTCTGCTCTCCTCCCCACTAATAGCTGATGTGTGGTGAGCGTCCTGGCGCACTATGGCCGCCGTCGCATCATCCAGGTGGATGCTGCGCATTGGTGGTGGTGGTGGAGGGGAGACCCCATTACCTGTAAAGCGCTTTGAGTGGAGTGTCCAGAAAAGCGCTATATAAGTGTAAGCAATTATTATTGGCAATTTTGTCTCCACCATTTTAGAAAAAAGACACTTTATGTGTTGGCTCTCCAGGGTCAAACAAGGCACAAACTGCTCAGACCAATGGCTCTGACTACAACTAGCACAAGGCCTGGACAAATGGGCAAGCATACTTCTGACACCCTGATTTGAGCAAATTAATATTGTTTAGGTTTTTCTCTTTATTAGAGATGCTAATCCTGATCTCCTCTCAAGTTCACCCAGAGAGAAGGTTCTTCAGTCTGTTAGCTGATGTTGGGCTGCCCCTGGGGAAAAAAGGCCCAGTCGACAGGGAATGACAGGCAGCTCTATACTTGGTTTAATGGAGAGAGAGCCTGTAGAATTTCATCAGTAGATCAAAAGGTTGGAGGTTTCACTGCTCTGTATAAATTGGGTGCTGGGTATTGGACAAACTCTCAAGGTAGGTTTTCCAGCTTCCCCAGGTCAGTGACAATGCCAACCCCTGGTTCTGTACTTGGCATGTTTTAGCTTTAAGTTCATACGTTTAATGTAGTAAAGTACAGAGCTGCAGACAGTATGTATTTGCCCTATATCTGAACTATGGAAATCCTCATTTCCACCTGCTAAAAAAAGGAGTGTTTAGAATCATTTCAACAATATCACTGATAGAAAGGTAAAGTTTAAAGGAGGTCTACAGTCCCAATTTCTCAGATAAACTATTATATCTCCATAACAAAATAAATTACTTGACACTAAACAAAATAAATGTAAAATTAAGCAGAAAACTGTGAACTTTGTGAAAGTACTGTAGGTCGCCATGTTGTCGCATTCTAGTTTCCACGTGTTGCAGCAGGATGCATCCCATTCTGCTCACTAGTCATGTACAAGCAATTAAATACAGGTTGTGCAGCAGACATTTCACAGCAGAAATGTTCCAACGTGATCTGTATGCAGATATAACAAGTAGTATCTGTTGGCAAAACCATCTCCAAATCTAAAGCAATTTATCTACTGGATTAAAAGAGATACTTACTGCTTGTTTACAGTGTCATGGGGCCTCGCATGTCACCATACATTTTGTTGCCTTGTTCTGAATAGCAGACTATTGTTCTGTGCATACCTCGAAATGCCATCTATTTGTGAAGTCAACTGGAGGTTTTACAAGTTGCTGTGTACATTTTACTTTTATAGCGATTTGAAATGCACTCATCAATGCTGATTCTAACCCCAAAATATGAAAATAATTTTGCAGTTTCCCTTTAGCTGAACTAAATGAGATTTTAAATTGGTGTTGTGTAAATTCTTACACTCCCAGGTAATACAGTGGCCTCTGAACTGTAAGATGTACTGTGCTTTTGTGCTCCTTTACCTCCTGTGCTCCAACAGCCGCCAGCTCAGTCATGTAAATATCCAGGATGTGGAATTGGACCCCACATGGGCAGCCACTGTTGCTCTGGAGAACACGAACTGTAAGCAATTCGGTGAACCGCTGCACGAGACTGAATACACAACAGAGAGCCCAGTGTCAGAGGAAAAAAATTCCCATCTTCATTGTTGCCTGCAGACTCTCAGCTACACCTTTGAAAAATGTATTCCTGAGTGATGTATAGGAGACAGGGCTTGCTCCTTTTCAATATCTATCAAATGGTACAGCAAACACTGTTTGGATATTCTAACATTCTAACATGTACAGTACCAGTCAAAAGTTTGAGTACACCTGCTTGAAACCAGTTTTTTTTATGATTATCTGTGCTTTCAACTGTATAAACTTGTCTAGAAACACTTAATATTTAATTATGTGACATGTACTTATAATCTTAAGTGAACTGCACTGAAAATGTTAATTTTTCATTTTCAATAAAACGAACACCCAAGCAAGCAGACTTCAGTCTGGCCATGGTTCTAAATGGCCATGGTATCACCGCAAAAGCTCTCTTTGACACAAAGACTGTTGCGTCTACGACAGCCAAGAGAGCTCTGGCCAAATGATCTCACCCTGCTCTGGGTGCCCCTCGGGGAACTGTGTGCCATTACTTGGAAAGTCCCAGTCACAGTAGTGACATGGCAATAGCCTGCAACTGCAACTCCTGGAGATTCAGCTTTAGTGTATTCCAAATGTCTGGACACAGACCTATAGGAAGAACTGTCTTCCGTGTATCAATCAAAGCTGTGGAATGTCCTGTCTCAGCAAATCAGTTTTTTTTACAATATAGATCTTATCTCTATTACTGAGTCTTCATTCAAATTCAAGTATTTTAATTGTGATTAGATTTGTTCTGTTTTGAATTCCTCACTGTTGTTGATTTTTTGTAGTGCCTTACAGATGGAACAATTTTTTATTTTTTCTCAGAGCTTCTAACTTGAAAAAAACATCCAACACTTACCTCTGGTCCCAGCATCTCTTCTTCAGCATTTCAAATGTTTGTCGGAAAACCATTCGGACAAGCTGAAGAGACAAAAACAAAAAATGGGTTCAGGGTCATTGGCCAAAAAATACAAGAAACAAATTTAGTTGAGCAGCTCTATCAAATTCTGTTCATTAGCACAGCGACTCTGGTACCAGAAAGCTACAGGATCTTTTACATTTCCTACAACCCAGCATCCAGTTACTGAACTGAGCCAACAGCTGGCTCAAACATTACTGCAGATCTCCCAGCCAGCCCAGTCATCAGTTCAGCTGATCTCTCCATATTCAAACAAAGTCACTGATTTCTCAGACTTTCATGAACTAGTTACCCCCTCTCTATTTATAACTAGTTATTTTTAGATTAAATATTCTCATTGTTGACTCATTTTACACCTTCACATATTAAAAGTTGATATAATATAGTTTTACCAATAACTTTACTTCAGATGTTTTCTAAACTATATTTTCACAACAGCGGCAAGTGTTCTCTCCAGTGATCATTCATTCAAATCCAGCATTGCTGGATTTTGATTCCAAACCATCCAAAATCACTTAATATATTAAAAGATAACAATTTAATATTACCACGAAAATGTCAGCCAACAGGACACTGCCTCTCACATTTTTTAAATGTACCATCATAGGTTTGATTGTACCAATGTCACTGCTACTATCCGTTTTATAAGATGATCTTATTTCCTATGATGTGCAAAGCTCTCTTCCAAAAACAGATATAATGGATCTTTAGCTTTCAAATTAACAATGTACTGTACGTAACATCCTATGTGATGGCCAAAATTGTATAATTTGGAACACAAGATTAAATTAATTTCCCCTTCTTATCTGTAGGACTTATATTCCTCAAACTAGGACTAGTCTACTAATGTAAGAGGGGACAGTCCAACACAGCACCCACCATGTAAAATTTGTCCATTCGAAGTCTGTCAATGCCAGTCCACTCACGGTTCATGGTCTGTAGAAATGTCTCTACAAACAAAAATTCTGGAAAAAAGAAAACAGCTGTTTTAAAGACAATTGTCTTTAAAATTTTCTAAACTGTAAATGATACTCATAAATTGTCTTATTACTTTTTCACTCTTAGAAATTAGTAAAGTAATAGTAGTAGATTACATTGGTAGATTTTGATTCCAAAGCATCCAAAATCACTTCACATATAAAAATAGAGCAATTTAATCCACCAAAATGTCAGCCTCTTACAGTAGAGTATGTAATTAGGTAAAGGACTGAAATCTGGTCTAAATTACCAACAAGATATTGTGGTAATTGTGCCTCTACTGTTACAAAAACACAATGTAGAGCAGCAGCTAGGTTTTTCTAAGAGGTCTTACATCACTGTATTAACCATGTTCAGTTTAATGCAATCTGTAGTTATCAGGTTAGGGTGGGGACACTACTGCCAAACTACAGTACAATAAACCCTTGCTTTAACAGACATCACTTGGGCTTGGGATCACACACAGGATCTAGAAAAGATCCTTAAAAGGACAACTCACTTTGTGTCTTTATGTACATGATTTAACATTGAGATTCCAAAATGAAATAAATGAACCTATGGAAAACCTTTGAGTATATGCACTGAAGTGATAAAACCTTTCCATAAAACAATGAATTAATTAATGATGAAGACATCAGATCACATACAATGCAGAAATTTATATACATTCAGTATGCATATACACAGTATATATTTTTTCTCACTAATGTATTTTTTGGGATCACATTATCTTGTTGGTAATTTAATGGACAGCCAGCAATACCAGACACTCCTTCCCCGCATTCCTCTATTAAAGCAAGCGTTAAATGCAACATAAAAACAATAAATTATATAAATATGTACTGTATGACCAGATAAGCTGCATCTATTTTGTGTTTCCATGTCTGCAGTTTGAAATGTATTGCAATCATGTTTTGCTTGTCCCTAATTACTAAAGGACATTACATTAGATTTTGAGCCATCAATATATTTCAGCCATGAATTTCACATGGTCACAAATAACTAAGACTACTACTTCTGAATACTTAAAAGTTTAAAAAGTCTACAAAGAACCTTGTAGCCTGGGCTCTGTGACCTGGAGCTGAAAGTTCTAATACAGACTCTTAGGGTGAGCTCACACCCTAAGAAGGCTCCACAGCTAAAACATTGTGTTTTCTTTCTTCTCTTTTCGGCATGGAATTAACCTATTACTTGTTACTTTGCAGCCTACGCATGCTGACACAGCTACCCATTTGAACTACTTTTAAAAACTATATCTCTTTGACCATGGAAGGCACCCAAAAACTGCCTAGATCAGGCTGTCCCTCCAAACTGAGCATCTAGGCAAGGCGAACAGTGGTCACTGATGCAACCATGAGGTCAACAGTGAATCTGAGATACAGAGTTCAATGGCTGAGATGGGGAAAAAATGTGAATAAGTCAACAAAATCCCCTATAGATCACTTCACAATGCTAGTCTGTATGGAAGAATAAAAAAAAACCATCTCAAATCCCACATTTCTCTATAACCAAGCAATACAATAAAGCTTGAGCAAATCGTCCAAGAAGAATGGGCAAAAATTGCATCAAGCCAATGTGCAAAGTTGGTAGAGACTTGGCCAAACAGAAATATTGAGTTTACAAGTCTTAATATTTAACATATTTCAGTTTATTTCTCTTTTTAGTTTCTGAAGACATGTACTATAACTTAAAACCCGAGTCTTTCCTCTATATTCTTAGTAAAATATTAAGTTTAAAAATAGTGTATTTTCAAGAAAAGGTACACCACAAAGTGTCTGAATTAATTCGCAAGAAACCTTTTACTTTATCATACCATTAATAAAGGTACTTTATATAATTGCTTATAAGAAAATATATCTTTATATAATAGAATGAAGCATCTTATCCAACAATTATTTTAATACAGGGTCTGTTTACCCTTTAGTAAATTGGGTCTAGTGATGGGACATGATGTTTAAGAACTATGTGATTAATATAATTTAGGTGAAAACAAAAACCCCCAGATGCTCCTGCCTATGAATGAATATCAGAAAAACACAGTGTCCTACTTTCAGAGTGATACCACAAGGTACTGTACAGACAACTTACTGCTGTCCATACTCTGGAAGACATGAATCAGATTGGACAGAACAGCAGACAGCTCTTCCTGCAAACCAGAGCAGAGAACAGACAGCTTATTAGATGTAAATTCCATTCTGGGAACTGTTACGTTACAATTACAGAACATTCTGATCCAGAAAAATGAAAAAACAGCAGAGGTTATTTCTTCTCGCACATACTTTGCAAGGATTCACTTGGCAATCTTAGTACAATATGAAAATGCTTATGTGGGAAGTAGGTACCACCTACAAATATCAGAAATCTAAAAAAAAATCACCCATTTAACAATTATATTCCATTGTTGAAATAAAGGAACAGATCTTATCATTCACATAAAATGTAATTTGCAAAGCCCTAGAAAACCTCTTAGATGTGCTCAGAGAAATCCAGTATCCACAGCTGTTGTCCTGAAGCAAACACAAAATGGATTTAGAGTGAACCATTACTGCTCATTTTATTCACTCCTTCAAAGGTTATTTATTCAGCCCATCAGTTTGAAATTCAAAAGCATAAAGGTCCTTTATTGAATTAATCTGTTTACTTGTTGGTTTACAATCTAAGTATGCTCCTCCGTCATTGGTTGTTGAGACTGTTATTAAAATTAATTTTATTTAATATAATGCTATTTATGATACATTTTCCCAAGGAGTTTCACAAAAAACACAGACAGGCTTACACAAATAAATAATAAAACCAATTTTTTTTTGATGCAGCCAACAGTAGAAGCAGAGGTATATAAATGCATTTCAACATCAATGCCTGATGTTCAGGGTGCTGCATGCAATTAGCATTAAAAGCAGGAAACACTATACTGAAAGTCATTTACGAGAACAACTTAAGTGTTTATGTTTACATTATTATCCTGCACTCATGATGTGAAAACAATAAAAAGGTGACTTCCGGTGAAGCAGTAATAGAGATGCCAGCATAACTTTTTAGCTCCTGGTGTTTGAGAGTGAAACCCTACAAAATTCAACTATTTAAAAAAAAACAAGAAAGGTCAACCGAAACAAAAAGCACAAGAATCTTCCATGGTGAGAACAGATGACAATGACCACTGCTCCACAGAAAACAAATAAAAAGGCAAACTAATGTAATATGTAATTAAATGTGTAACACTTAACAAAGGGATGTTATGTTAAAATTGTATAATGCACTATTGGTCACCATGGTACAAAAGATATAACTGCTGTAGAATCATAACAGAGAAACACCCAGATACAATATGGGCATTGAGGGAATATCTTGCACAGAATAAAAAAGAAATGAATTTCTTGAGACAAAAGTCTATGAAGAAGCCATTTAAGGATTGAAAAACAAAGGCAACGAAAAAGGGCCAACCTTTCAGAATGGATGGAGAAACGTGAACCTGATGACACTAGTGGAAACGATGTAGGAGAATGGAACGGGCATCACAGCCAAGTTGTTGAAGCTGATTCCTTAGCTTCTTAAGAAATGGCTGAATGGGATACTTGGATCAAATAGCTACTAACTTGATAAGTTAATACACCTCTGCTAACTACAAACTAGGATGAAAAGATCTAATTAATCTTTCAGAAGGATAATGTTCAAAAGCACAAGACTTCTTTATAAAGTGATTTTCCTGCCATTCAACACTGGCCAGGTAGCTTGCTGCAGACACCCACAACTTTGTGTGAAGATGGTCCTCCTGTTCTCAGTTTTAAATGCACTTCCCTTTAAGTCCCACTTCTGTTGTTTGCTGGGTTTCACTTTTAATTATGAAAAGTCAAACTGTTGACCTTGAATTCAAAGAAATATCCCAACCAGAAGAGGTTCATTTATCCACTGTAGAAAAAAAACTTAAACAGCCAAGACTGGGAGATGTAAACATGGTTCTCCTTATTGTTAAGATGACAAAACCCAGGACTTGGATGATCATTAGTGTGTTTGGTTATTTTTTCTGGAGAGACCTGGAAAGTCGCTTCACTTCGGATGACATTAGGATTAGGATACCTTGACTTACCTGTAACAGGGGTTTGTCTTGCATCCACATGCAGTAGAACAGACCCTTCCAGATTTTGAGCAATTCTTCACTGGTAAACCCTCCTGCAAAGAGCACACAAGTTCTGATATGATGACATATCTTAATTGTGATCACACGCAAATCGTAAAATTCCTTCTTCATGGAAGTTTTTACCACGTGTCGGTGAGCACTGACTACTATTTTCAGGCCGTGATAAAAACACTACCTGTATAATTCACCTGTAGCATATTAACTAAACACGAATAAAGGTCACATATTAGTTGTACTACAAAACCAACAAAACCAGAACACACGCGACTGGATTTACACAGAGAATGCATTTGAAAAGCTTACATCCACAGTAACTTTGTTGAAGTTAACGTCCACGTAATAGAAATGTAGAACTGCATCACTTCAGCAACTAAAATGTACTGGCTATTTCTTGATTAAAAGCAATGGAAACTAAATGCTATTTAATAAAATCCGCTATGTGTTACAATATATAGGTCCAGAAACGTATTAGTACTTTTGGGGAAAATGCTAGAACTCAACAGCCCCCACGTACATGATGTAACTACGCTGATTCCTACACCAATCCTGCCCGTTGACCAATATATTTACCTTTTTGCTTCTGTGAACGAATACCAATATATTTTTTCAGCTTCTTAATAGCCCTCGTTCGAATGGGTTTCTGGTTAGAAGCCAGTTTCTGAGCGAACTGAACCTCAGGACCTTGCAGTAGTAACGCCATCTTTTTCTTTTTTCTTCACGTGTGGGACTGGGATTCTCGTCTCCGAAACACGTTGTAAAACAGTCGCAGTATGATGACATCATCACCGCCGGCTCTGCGGTCCTTGCACAAATTCGAGTGGACAGAATAGATCATTGTATTCTAAAGCGAGATAAAATTGCTGGCTCTGAAGAGTGAACATTAAAATCACTGAGAGAGAGAATAATATTAATGCGGAGGCTAAACAATGCACTACTTTTTTATACGGAAATAATACAAGAACAAATGGTATGTGAGATAAAGAACAGAGCAAAATAGGAAATGTGCTAAATTAATATTTCATGCAGGTTTTTACAAATGTCGATAATGTGTCAAGGGTTATAAGAGCAACTCCATCAATATTGTGTAGTTTTAGAATAAAACTTAAGTTATTATTGAATTGAGTTCTTATTGTAAAAAGAGTTTTTAAAATATTAATTCTCTGTATCCCTGCATTATTTTCCTGATTATACCTAAGAAAATTAATAATGTTATTCACAGACCGTTAACAAATATTTTCCAACTGTCACGAGTTTGGGAGCTGTGCCTACAGATTGGAGAAATGCAAATGTAATACTAGTGTATAAAAGAGGGAACAAAACTGAACCAGGGAGCACTCTAAGCCTTCTGTGACTGGTTGAATTATAAAAATGAATGTTGATCAACCTAGAATATTTACAAAATAATGGTTCAAGGAGTTAGGTAAGAGGGATTTCGAAAATTACGTTTTTATTTTGTTTCAAGAGCACTATACTGGGGCATTAGGGCCCCAGTATAGTGCCCTAATACTATACAGTATAGTGCCCTAATACACTGGGTGAGCACCCAGTGCTGGCCCCACTAACACCTCTTCAAGTTCAAGTTTATTGTCATTATACTCATGTACAGGTACTGTATATGGTATAACGAAATGCTATTTAGCTAGCTCTCAGATGATAAGTAGTACAAAAAAACAACAATAATGTTATGGTATAATAAAAGAAAGACAGAGACAATAGGCAGTGTGCAAAAACAACAAAAAGGTAACAGTAATGTGCAAAACAACAGCAGATGTGCAAAAACATGCATCAACAGAATGAAATAAAAGGATAGAAATTATGGGGAGTGAGCTTTTGACATGTAAGGTAGAGGTAGATTTCAATGTGTGTTTTGAGTTTTTGGTACGAAAGAAGGCACTGTGAGGTTCAGATCATAGGTGAGAGGTGAGGTGAGAGTGAGAGAGACTGGGAGTTTAATAGTTTGATAGTGCGGGGGTAAAAACTGTCTCTGAGTCTGGTAGTCCGGGCCCAAATACTCCGGTACCGTTTTCCAGATGGTAGCAGATCATACAGTCTGTAGCTGGGGTGTGTGGGGTCTTTGATGATGCTTAGAGCTTTCCTCAAGCACTGTCATAAATGTCCTGTATAGATGGGAGGGAAGCCCCAGTGATGGACTGGGCAGTTTTCAACACCCGCTGTAGGGCTTTGCGGTCAGCAATACTGCAGTTGCCATACCACACAGTGATGCAACCTGTCAGTGTGCTTTCTGTAGAGCATCTGTAAAATTAAGTGAGGATCTGGGAACACATCTTAGCCTTCTTCAACCGTCTTAGGAAGTACAGGCACTGTTGCGCTTTCTTGATCAGACAGGTGGCGTTGAGAGACCATGTGAGGTCCTCAGCGATATGGCCGCCAAGGAATTTGAAGTTACTGACCCTTTCCACTTCAGTCCCGCTGATGTGGATAGGGGCATGTCCGTTTTGCAGTTTCCTGAAATCAACGATCAGGTCCTTGGTTTTGCTGATGTTGAGGGTGAGGTTGAAAAAAACTTTTGTTTTTCCCAGGTAGGCTCCCATCCAGGTACTGACCAGGTGCACAGCTGCTTCAGTGGGTTACCAGATATGAGTTGCAGGGTGATATGGCTGCTAGTACTTAAGTACTTTTACAGTAAGTACTTAAGCTGGATTCATCAAGATGTTAGTTGACTAGCAGCCAGCACAAGAAAAGTATTTTAAGCCCATCTGTTCCTTTCAGTTTTTTTTAAAAAACAATAATGTTTTTTTAAAAAAAAAACACTAATGAAACAGTATTTGTTAACACTATGAATAGCCCCAGAGATGGATGTGGTGAATTTCATTAGCAGGAAAGCATGCTTAGTAATTTTAATGCATAGACTACACCCAAATGTTCAGTAACTTATTCTGTTTCCTAGTGCCTTGTGTGTCAGATAGCCCTGATGTCCAGTACACAGGAAATAGCTAATTAGAGGTTCAATACTAGATCTACCACTGTTGCCAATATAACCTTGCTCATAAAATTAAGCAGCCTGAGGCCTAATCCAGCAGTTTTATGGCTACTATAGTGCTTTGCAAAAGTATTTACCTGCCTTGGACTTTTTCCCTTGGACTTTTTTTTTTGTGTTAAAGCATGGAACCATGATGTATTTAACTGAGAATCTGTGCCACTCATTAACACAAAGTACTCTATAATGTCAAAGTGACAAAAAATCCAGACATTAAATTAATTTTATTTTCTCATGTATCTTACAGTACTGTATATATCTATCTCATACACCCATTACCCAAATTCTTTGTCTAAATTTTGAAGATTACTTAAAGCTGCTAACGTTTTTCATTGTATGTCTTTAATTGTTAATGTGTTCATGTTGTGTTAAATGTACTAAACACATCAATTTCCCTTTGGGATCAATAAAGTCTTATCTATCTACTATGTATTGTGTTATGTATTTTACCTGCCAGAAAAGCAAATTTCCCATCTGGGATAATAAAGGAGGTAAGAAAATCGGAGTTCTCTTAAGCACATTACTTTCTTAACTAATGAGTTACCTCCACTTTTTCACAATTTTGTAGAAACTGATGATGCAGGGTGACCTATAACATTTACTGGACTGGATCTCTGCTACTCCTAACATGAAAATGTGCTTTAGTAATATATTTTGATTTACAAAAAAAGCTTCTGAAAAGGACCCTTATAAAATGTTGATTCTTAAACAGAAATGATAGTTAATAAGTGATTAAATTTACAAATGATACAAAATATTGGGGGAGTGGCAAACACAGATAAAGCAGCAATGGATTTACTAAAATCATGGAAAATTACAAATGGTATAGAAATTGAAATGTTGACAAGTACGATCCACACAGGATGTAAAAACATAGACTATATACTGTACTGTATATATCACATAGATAATTCAGAACAACAGAAAGCTGCACTCAAAGGGCAGGTTATGTACTGTACAATATCCTATATGCTTATCAAGAGAAACTTTTTCTATATACACATAGCAATGTGGATTTTAATTCGGTGAAAGTTCTATTCAAGCCTTACAATGGTTTACTAAGACCTTATTTAGAATATTGTGCTTACTGTTGGACACCAAACCATTAAAAGAATAGTAATAGCCTTAGAAAGAGTTCAAAGAAAGCAACAATAATTATTCCTAGTCTAAGAGAATTGATATACATGACCAGATTAAGGTACTACAGCAAAATCACATCAAAGCAAGACTTTTCAAGATTTATGAACAGAAATAATTTATTTGTAAAATGCCAAGTATGTAATACAAGAAAGACAATATAAATAATCATAATGTATTAATGCTCTCTGTTGTTTTATGTTTGCTTACATTTAATTTAAACATTTTGTAATTTAAACTGTGAGCCAACATGGATAAACAGATTATTTATCTTACTTAATAAATGTAACAATCCACTATTCAAAACATAGAACTAATTAAATGTGCTTGTTTGAAACCCTTATTTTGCTTTAAATCATTTTACTATTTTTACTTTGCTTTAAAAATGACAAAGTGTAGACCTAGTAAAAATATCTATTTATTCATGCCTAAAAGTACAGCTGTATAGTTTTTCATTTAGTGGCAGCAGTGTCTCTGACGTGCTGCAGCAGTCACTCCTCTACTTCTTCGGGGGCAGTAGATAATGCCTGAGTCCCCTCTGGCTCCACCTCAGGCTCTTTTCCCACTTCAGAAACCAGGTCTGTTTCCTCTTTGTCCTCTGCTATAGTAGGCTCAGGCCCAGTGGCCTGTATTTCACTCTCTTTCACCTCCCCAGGTGCTGCATTGAATAAACAAAATGTAAATATTTCTACATTAAAAAGGTTCTACAGCAACCTTGTTCAAGATATTTAGAGGCCCCAGCCTCTGAACTAGCCATACCCAGCTTAGTAATGTAATCATATATCCAGTAAGAACAACAATTTCCAGGATAATCACAAAGTACAGACCCATGTTGAACTGGACAGGCTGATTTGCACATGTGTTCTTTTTCTTTCCAATCCTCTTCTGCTTGATTATTTCTTCTTCACTCTTAACACCATTTACTACCACACTGATATAATTTATCATATGTCACTACTTTGCAAAGGGTCTGTAGGGATTGATAAGAGAGTGAAGATAGGAAAGAGGAGAATGGTTTTGGCAACGCTAGGCAGGAACTAGAATAAGGAGCCAATGGTAGGATTGGAATAATGGAGTAGCATGGGCTGAGTGAGGAAGAATAAAAAAAAGCCAAGCAGCAGATGTCTGGAGCGGACGAATGACGTTAGCAGGAAACACTACAATTGTTTAGGCAGGAGACTGCCTAGGGCCTGTACTAAAACTAAAATTCGGAAAAGGACAAGGAAGGAAAGACCATGTTCTGAGCAATGTGCTAGACAAGAAATGTGTTGCAATGCTTCAAGGTTCAAGGTTCAAGGTTCTTGAAAAATAAGGAAAGGGGTGATGGAGTCAAGAGAAAAAGACCTCATTAATGTCCAGAGAGAGGAAAGAAAGGAACGGAGAACAAAACAGGTCAGACTTTGAGGAAAGTTTAATATTATAGGACATCAGCCAAGAGGTGATGGTTGTGGAAGAGATACAGGAGAAGACAGAGTAAACAACAGAATGAAAAGAAAAGGATTTGAGCATTATCAACACCAAAACAATATTGAAAGCCATGGGAACAAGTGAGAAAACCCAAAGAACAGGAGTAGATGAAGAAATTAGGGATAGATAAGAGTAAGGACCATTTCTGTGTTATCAGAAATGTAGGAGACAAAAGTGTGCAGAGGAATAGATTAATCCACACTGTCAAAGGCACCACAGAGATCAATAAGTATTAAGACAGAGGCAGCACAACACAAGTTAATTTGTTACAATCAATAACACAGAATTGTAGTTTATCTCGAGTGTGCCAAGTAAAAACCAGAATGGAAAGGGTCGATGTCCACCTGCTGGCTGCTTCTTCAGTTCCTCGACTGGAGTCCAGAGAGTCATGGCAGTCACTTTGTCTGCCTTCCACTTCAGTACAGTGGCACTGATGGGATCCTCATCTTCCCCTTCACCTTTATCCTGGCACAGGAAACAGACCACTTTTGCTCTTTGAAGAATGTCAAACGAAGAAAATAGTGCAAACAAGAGGAAACCATTCATTCTCTACTGCTTGTTTGGTTACTAGTAACTTAATGACCCAGGAATCCCATGTTCATAAAGCATGCCACAATGACAGCTTTAACCATTTTTCTGTTTGTAAAGAAGTGTCTCTCCTATTTCTGTACACTATGCTACTGAGCTTATTTTCCATACAAACTTGTGTAATCAATCACAGTATCCCATGGATTGTCTTTCTCAATACCTTTCACAATTCTGAATTTTCAATTAAGTCAACAAAGACAGCTTTCAGAAATCTTTACACACTTATAGGATTTTTAAAATTTTAAGCTTTTTGTACCAGTACTCTGCTTCTTCTTACCCTAAATACTAATTATTCACAATATTAGGTTTTCATGTGTGTTGTGTCTTGCTAGATTTATACTTTTAAAATTTTATTGTGACATTCAGAAAATTAGAAACAACCCTACCTCTGAAACAAACAAAAATTATACATTAGTGTTGTTTTAAGAATATGTTTCTGTAAACTGCTGCAATTATTAGTTCCAGAGGTGACAACGCACAGTATGCCCAGACCAATACACTACCCCTGTGATGCTTAATAATTTGCTTAAAGCTTGGTGGAGGTATGTCATCTCTGGAACTAATGATTGCAGAAGAATTACTTCTAAAGTGTACAGAAACATTTTGTCTGCTTATGTGCTTTCATAACTATTCAACAGTGTTTCATCATGCATGATCATGCAGCATGATAATGACCTTATTGTAGAAACAAGAACAAGCAGTACTGGCTGGGGGAATATAGGCAAACAGAACGGAATAGGCACAGTGGGCAATACGTCATGCTTCACACATATAAAATCAAAACAGCAATCTTAAATAATAATTTAAGATTAATAGTTCATAGTTCATAGTTAATAACTCACTATGAACTCTATTCACAAAGACTAAGCACAAAGGTTATTTTAAAATAAGATTCTGTTTTGATCTTCATGTTAGTGTAAAAATTACCTACTATTTTAGATTATTGCTAATTTAAGGAAAAGATTATAATAATTCCTGGGGAGATTCCTGGCCAATTCCTTGGCGAGAGTTACTGGTAAACAAGTAAATTACCAGAGCTTGAAAAGCCACTGTTGTAACAAAACATACTGTTACAAGTTCTCTCATATTGCTGATTCTGAATAAAAAGAATGTGCTAACAAGTTTCAAGAAGTCATATAAATTATTGAAAAATCAGTGATATTGCCTTACTGTCAGAAAATGTGAAACTTTTTAAAAATACGTAGGTAATGGTAAAGATAATTCCTTACATTTATATAGCACTTTTTTGGACACTACACACAAAAAGCTCTACAGGGAATGGGGACTCCCTTCCACCACTAATGTGTAACACTGCCATGATTGGTAAAGTTTTGCCAGGACACTTGAGTAACACACCTACTCTTTTCAAGAAACACCCTCAGAGTTATCCCAAATATTACTGATAAAAGCTTAAAATTATTTAACATTTTTTTGTGAAAATAGTTCAGTTTAAAGTGCAGCTGGAATAAAGCCAGAAGAAATAAAGATATGAAAAAACTGAACAGTATATACTATTTTTTTTCCATTTTAGATTTCTAGGTTTCCGATTTTCTGAAACAGACAAGAGGTTAGAAATCTAATTCAGCCTGTTCTCTGTGAATAGGGCCAAAGCATGAGCCCGAAAGATAAAGCACTCCTGTCAAGCAGAGCTTTAATTACATCTGTGCTTTCAAAAGAAGACAAAAACACAACCAAATGTGACACCCTAATCCAGACAGCAGTGCACCTCAGCTCCTTCTGCCCCAGCGAGGAAATAAACCTCAATTCCAATTTGAGCAGTATGGGAATGTACCGATTCTTTTTATTGATGAAATACATAGACCTCCTAGATCAAAGCTATTGCTGTCCATAAGCACTGCGACTGCCATACAAGTTTGACTCCTTCAAAAGAGCACAGGTATCATGTAATAGATTACCTTGTGTGCTTCTAGTATACTTTTTTTCACCTTTCTTGTAAACTCACTTTAGTGTTTTTAAATGATTGATTTTTTAAGGAGCTGTATAAAATAGTTTACTATTACTGAGGTGAGCACATTTAGGTAACTATAGTATGTGAAATAATCCTCTAAGATCTCTAGTCTTATTTATATATTGTATCTCATAGTTTCCTTCAGGCAGCTCCATTTACTTCCTTTGCTGAAGAGTACTTTAGGGTCACTGTAGTTTTCCTACCTTGTTTTTTTAATATCTAGAAAATCTTCCTTCCCAAAAAAAACAGCTTCTTACTGTCACACCCTCTGTAGCCAGGGGGCGCTCCTTCTCTGTCCTGTCCCTAGTTTCCGGTCTGCTGTACTTCCGGTTCCCCTCTTTCCCTTGGGCTATATATTTCCGGGTCTTGCACTCTGTCATGGCTCAGCATTGACGTTCGGATGTCCTGAGACCTACCTAGCACCAGGGTGCCCCACATCCGCTCCCTGAGGGCATAGGTTTCTATACGGCATTCCTGAACTCTTTGCACTAATGAGTCCGGGCCTTTTTCCCGTCTCGCCGCTACGCATATGGGTCTTTTTCCGCTCTCTTGCACCCCACGGTTAGTTCCTTTGGATGACGTGACACTTACTTTTAAAGCAAAATTAAAGTGGCTGAAAAGCAAAATTAAATCTCAGACTGCCATGCAAGATACTTCAACAATTTGCATTATTCTACACTTTTCACTCAGGTTTTTCTTTCTCTATGAAAAAAGTCAGTTCTGTGGTGATTTTCTATTGTAATTTTAGCAATTTTGTTTTGACAGCTAATCTGTAGAGATTGTTTTTTTTTAAGTGAAGTAAGCTTTTTATTTGCCTGTATCTGTAAAGATAAAAAGAAATGATTTAATGAGAGGTACAGTAACTGCTGAAATTAACCAAGTACTGTAGATTTGGCTGTTAAATGTGAGGGATTACATACTATATACAGTCTGGGCTGATCCTTTGTCACGCATTCCGCACGGGCCTCTGACCAGTCTCACATTCCCACCCGCACTGTCTTTAACAAACGTTCACACTGCAACTAATTTACCTATCACTATTCACTCCCATCACTATTTCAGTTCCCCTTTTTCTCACTTCCCTATTTACTTTTGCAGATTCTCCTCGAGCTCCCTAGTCCGCATTATTTTCTTTCTGTCTAATCGTTATCAGACCCTCTTGATTGTCCCCTCAATTACAATTTAGTCTTATGATTCAGATTGTTATTCTCCTGCTGTCTCAACCATTATCAGACTTTCTTGCTTGTTTCCTGGATTTCGTCTTAGCCTAGTGATTTGGATTGGAATTCTCTCTCTCTCCTGAGTCCTGCACAGGATCCATACTCCCTTTCCTGCCTCATGTTACATCCTTACCATTCTACCTAGAATTGTTTTCAGCAGATGATTTTGATCAATGTGAATTAAAGACAGCTAAATTAATTTCCTGATGTCACCTCCATCCTTCAAAAATGAGATTAATTTATCAATCAGGGAAGATTACAAAACCTATTGAATGAAATTAAAAATTTCACATTCAGCCTAAAAAGAAATACAGCCTGTTACATTCATTCTTTAAATAATTTAACACTCCATTGAATTCTGATGCATAAACTGTAAGGTGAACGTTAATTAACACTAATTAACGCAGTGTTAATTAACACTCACAACATTGACTGTTGAAATGATAGCCCTTCATATTGCTCTGCATGCTTTTTTGCTTGGTTATAAAAAAACATTTTCACAATCAAATAGAATCTTAGGAATACAATGCCAGAAACACCCTGCAGAAATCTTGCTGAACTAAACATTAATACTCAATTCAATGAAAACAATGCTCAAACATGCCTGTAACATTCTGTAAACGCACCATGGACAATGTGACAGCTCCTTGTGGCTTTCATCTTAATCTGTCATATTGTAAATAGTTTGGACAAGATTTAACCATCTCCTGGATGTACACTATAAGTGTGAATGAGGGGCACCCTTTTGGAGTCCACTGCATGTTTTTAGGCAAATAGTGTGGATGCTGTCAATACAGAATAGGACAACAATGAACAGTTCTATATTGGTGCTTCTGCCTACCTGCTCCACATGTAGAAACTCTCCATGCTGCTCACAGCCAATGTCAAAGACATACTTCCCAGTTCCAAAAGGCTAGAAACAAAGCAAAGCCATGTTAATAAATACTGTGAATTAGGTACATTTTCACTTCTTCATCTTCTAATGTTTAAGTAGTGCCAATGTAAGGGTACACATCCAACCTATTAAAAAAAAAAAGTATATCCTTTCTAACATCTACTTTTCCTGGGTTCGTACAATTTAGGAAGTGCAATACCACATAATCCCACACTAGGCTTCTGCAAAATTTTAAATATGTAAATGGATGTATCTCAAGATACAATGAAGCCAGGAGTGACACCAGTTATTCAGGCAGGCATATATATTTTTGGGGGGTGGGAGTACATTTTCTCCTAGAAATGTCATTTGACACAACTTGAAATGTGTATTTTTTGCTTACATTAATCTTAATCAAAAACAGTGTAGTTTTAATGCTATACTACTTCTTAAGGACTGATCTCATGAGATCTCAGAAGCTCAGCATGACTGGGCCCAAACAGTATCCTTTGACACTGTTAACAAGAATATGGGTGTTAACCCTAGTGTCCAAATTAAATTCTCATCGAGGTTTGCACACTCTGGCCTATATAAAAATTTGGTTGATCTGCAGTGGAAGTACAGTAGATTAAATGGGGCTACAGAATGGCTACCATGAACTTAAGTGTGTGGTACATTTCACCAGAGGATGACATGGATCTCTTCCTATATGTAAAGTGCTATGTAAATCATTGATTAAGTAATAATTATAATTGATCTTCTAGGAAAACCTTGGCTGCTGCTGAACTAGATGGTGGATATTTTTCCCCCAGACAACACATTTAAGAACAAAGGTCCTGATTACATGTGGTCAATAAAGATCACACAGAACAATTTTAGAGTAGGGGTGCTAATCCTGAACTACACTTCTCTACACTTGGCTACACTTAGATTCAGCCTTTCTTAATTTCACCTACATTTCCCCATCTAGTTTAATTGCCCAGTAATCTCACACTTCTCAATATTATGATAATAAAACCATCTTATTGTCCTTTGGTGTTAAAAGTACTAAGTACTGAAATTAATTAAAAAATAATTATTGACAACCAAATAAAAACTATTTATACAATTCAGTGTATTTGTCCTGTAATGTGCCAAAATGCACAAGGTCAAAATATGTGGAACCTCCAGTCAAGTTAATTGATAAACTTTCTCAAGGACAGGCATAGTTGGAATGAAGAGTATGAAGAACATTTCATCTTCACCAGATTTTAATCCCTAATGGAAAGTCTAGTTCAATCCTATATACCATCTTCAACAATCTGATCTGAAGGCAATCCTGCTCTAAAAATAGACTGGAATTAGGTTCAATCTTTCTCAGAACTATGATGAGTACACAACATGTACACAGTTCAACTGTTTTTGTGTCAGGGAGAACAGCGGGTTTTATTCAATGGGGGTTCACAGTATGATACAAAATATTTTGTGTAATTAAATATTAAAATGTTAACATTTGAGTCGGACTCGCAACTTGCATTGCTGTTGACGAAGTTTCCTTGAAATCGGTGGTTAAGGTGGATGCATTCTCCTGCTCCCTCCTGTTTGCCCAGCGCCCAGGTGCCAACATACTTTGATCCTGTATCTGCATAGGTGTACACACCCTGCCCATGCCTGAAAAGTAAAAAAATGAAAGAAATGATCACGTTTGCTTGTTTCCACTTCAACTTCCACATCTGCATAGATGACATGGAACTATATGCATAAACTTCATTTTGATAAAGTGTTGAAAGGTTAAGGGATTGGTGCAGCAGTTTAAATATTGCTTATCCTTCTGTACTTAAGGGGTTATTGAGAACAATATCTGAAAATTGCAATATCAATACTAACTGCACTGTTCACTTCTTCACTGTATAAATACTGTCTCACTTTTTAAATTTAGCACACAACAGCTATTTTTTTTAAATTAAGCATATATAAATATCAAATGGCTAGAAATGTCATTATCCAGATATTCCAGGCAACAACTGTCTTATTTTCAAGTGGTGTCACTCCGAAAAAGCACTGCAAAGGATTTAATTCTGTAACCTTAACAGGATTGAATTACTACCCTTTAAGTAGACTAAATTAGATTTCATAATTAAAAAAAACAGTATTTGCTCCCAAAATTCTCCTGCAACCCTTCTATAATTCTCCAGAACATCAGTGAAAATAAGAATGTAATAAGTAGCAATATGCAACATGAGAAAATCAGAATGGAAACCCTGTTTTTACAAGTCAGAAAAATATACCTTTGATGATTCATCCACTCTCCATCATATGTGTCTCCATTTGTGTATGTGTACACTCCATGACCTTGCCTCTGATCATCAACCCAGCCACCTGTGAGGGACCAACAGGTATATAAGAAACTTCAAAGTGTTAGCATGTTAAATAAAAAAATAAAACCACATAGAGTGGTACTATATATATATATGTGTGTACTTTACTTAATGTTTCCCCAAAAATATTTCACAAATTTTACATTGCAAACTAGGAAAATGCTAACCTTCATATTTTGATCCATCAGGGTAGTAGAAAGTACCTTGTCCATGCTTCTTATTCATGTAATATTCACCAATGTAACGAGCACCATTTTTAAACCTATAGGTTCCCTGTAACACAATAAGCGGGATAAGATTTAGATTTTCCTCTCCTACAGCGGTACAGTTATCACATGAGGGGGAGACAGAGAGCTGAAGATTTAAAAAAAAGAACAAATAAGACCAAATGACTTTGCAGGGAATTACAGTATGCAAATACAAATATTTCAGATAAGACATTAGAATAATCAAAGATTTCTTTTTGACTATGGTTATTCATTTTACCTGTCCACTTACTCTTCATCTGTGTTCCTTTACAGGGATTCCAGGATTCTTATTCCAGAATGATATGAAAATGAAACCAAAATTATCCTTCAACTACTGTATGTTTTCACCTTCCCCCAGCTCTCAATGATCAATTCATTACTTCATTCATTTACAGATTTCTGGGTTTTAAATGTCTTCTGGAAATCATGTCCCAAATTTCCATATCATTGAACAAACTTTCTCACTTCCTACACCCATTCTCACATATTATTGCTTTTGTCCTTCTTATTCAACCTCTCAACAACACGCCTTCTCCCCACCTCTTTCTCTCTTTCTTCCATACACCTGAGGAAGTCCAACAGGCAAAATATTCTTTCTATTTTTAAGCATTGAATTAAAATCACCCTGCTCACACATTTATGCAGTTTGACACTCAAGACTGACACTTGTACACACAGTTTGACTTGGGAGACACCAAGGCACTTCAGTGTGCTTCAAAAGCAGATAGAACAAAAAGCTTTAAAAACTTGATTTAGGGAATGATTCCAGGGTTGGAGCAATGAAAATCTGTGCTTAATGTCCAAATTCAGCAAATGTTTAACACTGACCACCTATTCACTTTAAAGCCCATGCAAAAAGATGCTTTCAAATAACACTGTTATAACAGTAACAGCAGTTTGCATAGTCTCATCACTGAGATGAACAGAGAACAATTTTTCCTTATAAAATGTAAAGTAAAAGAATTAGCAACTTTCATCTCAGCTGAGAGAAAGCCGAATTTACAAATTACCAATATGCACCTTTAAAGCAGTTTTACAAACCTGTTCTGTTTAAGTGCCCTGTTAAACATGGAGACAGATGCTCGCCTACATTAATTATTCAAACACATAGTTTTGGAGGCACAAATATGATAAAGATCATCATGAGCATTCAGAGGCTACTTAGCAGCAGCTTTTACAAGCCATGGGTGAAGGCTAAACAACACTCTAGTAAAACAGTGTGAGGATTAAAACTTAATTTAAAAAGATATAAAAAGGGTAGGCTTTCAACATTTATTTGCCGAGAGTCTTTACTGCAGACTTAACTCAGCATGACATGAGCTCTTTGGAGATGTCTCTGCTATCAAATGTTTAGCTACTAGAGAAACAATATGGCCTTCTGTATTACAACAGGTTCATGTTGTTAGTGTTTCCTGGAGAAAAGTAAGGAAAAAAGTGGCAAGATCTGTGGCAGTCATCCAAAGCAATATTGGCATTTAAGCACTGGAGCAGGAGAACAGGAAGAAATCATCAGCATCACAGTTGGCACTGCTGGTCATGCAAGTGGACAGCACAGTCCACCCACAACAGCTGCCAGGTGGGCTGGATATTTTCACTTCCATCTCTTGCAAGGTCTCGAAACATTTTGAGTCAAGGGAAAAAGGACAGAAAAGTCTTCCATTTTATTTTAGCAAATTGTATTGTAATCTGAATATCTTAATAATGAAAGATTTCTGACCTCTTAGTGTCATACCTCTATACCTGTTTTGCTTTATTCTAACTAGTGAAAATAGCACAAATGTCACTTGGGGTCAAAAGTTGTTGTGGTAGAACAAGTTACTTATACAGCCATCGTATAGCTTAAAGAGAACCTTATTTATACCATTATATTATAAATATGGAAACTCCAAAGTTCAACTTTGACTCCATTTTGAAGATAATGTTCTGACACACACTGTAATTTTGGTACAGGGAAAATAATGTACAACATGTACACATAACTACTATTACAGGATGTCACAGGAAACAAAAATGTCAAAGCTCCCATGAGCCTCATATATGAACTTCTTGAAATGTCATGATCAATAACAACACATCTAACTACAGCTCTTCAAACATATCCCAATGTATTAAAGTGTCTGCATCCTGAGAACAATAGTTGTAAAACAGAAGACCACGAAATCTGTGTTAAGTGCAGGGTTTACATTTTAATGTGTAATTAATTAACTTTAGTTTCCTGGAGAATGTTCTAACTTTTCCAGGAGCTCAGTACACTTCAGCTGCTTTCTAATCAACACAGGCTCGGGGCGCTCTCATTGTCCTCCAACTGTCTAACACCACAGAAGTGAATCTAAGAATCTATGAGAGTCCTAAGGAATAACAATGCATGATGAGGTGGTCTGAAGCTTAAATAAACAGTCCAAAGATAACAGTACTTCAAGTGCACTTTAGTTTAACAGCTTCAAAACTCAAGAGACCCCAATCAATCTGGCAACCATAATCCCGTAGTCTCCCTATTTATTTCCACTGGGGGCTGTGATGTCTTATGGAGAGAAGCTTTTCATACTGGCAGCCACAACCAGCATTTCCAGAAAGTTCCTTCCCACCACGTGGCAAGAGATTCCTTTCTAATCTGTAGGTACCAGTCTTCTGACAACAGCCCCCAAGGTCCGAGTCCAAGGCAACACAGCATCTGATGCAAAGCCACCTCCCTATTCTCACACTCCCAGGCCAGCTATGAATATAGACCAGGCCAGAGGGAATACAGTCTGGCAACATAACAGGCATTAAGACAGGAACATAATTACAGTGGCTTGCTCACTCCCTTCCAACGATGTCCATTTTTTAAAATTATGTATTTTAATTGTTTTTAAGGCGTGTATTTTTAATCAAATCTTGAAAACTCAAACCTATAATGTACATGATTATTCAGAAAAGTTCAATATCAGCAAAAACTGGAAAGAAAAAACAATAAAAACATATCGTTTGTATTATATGCACTGCCCTATGTAATTACTTGGTGGAATCACTTTTGGTAGCAAATACAGTTGTGAGTCTTTGCAGATAAGAAAGTCTGTTCCAACGTTGCGCACCAAATTTTTCAGTCTTCGTTCATTCTTCTTTGCAAACCTGCTCAAGCTCTATGACGTTGTTTGGGAACCTGCTGAAAGGTGAATACTTTCCCAGTTTTAGGTCTGTGCATTCCAGGGTGCAGTTGGTAGAGAACCATCAAAAAAAAACATACAGTACAGCTGTAATAGCCACCAAAACTGCATCCATTGAGTATTGACACAGGGGAGAATAAATATGGGACATATTTTAGTTTTTAATTTTTCTTTGCAGTTTTTGCTTTCATTGAACTTCTTTCACCCAGAAATCTGTGTTCACATTTAAAATCTGAATAAAAATATTGGCTAATAGACAAAAAAATGTTTATACTGTACATGGTACAGGACATCATTGGAAATTGATTACTACTTATAGAGGATGAATGCTTTTGCAAGGTACTGAATATACTTTACAGCAAATAAGTCTGCTAGTTTTCTGATATTTAGGAAAATTCATTTTTTTTTCCATAAAGAGGTGCCTCCTTCTCTCAGTTTTTACTGGTGTCCTCTAGTAGTTCATGATCATTCTGAAGAATACCCCAGGGTAAAAGCCTTTAAGGATCTCTGAATAGTTCAAGAAGGTCCCCTCATAGATTTCTCTGTTCAAGACTTAAAATGTTTGGTTCCTTCAGTCTGGCAGTGTAGGAAATTACCTTATACCCCAGAATGTATCTAGTTGCTCTTTCATTAATGGATTTCAGAGCATCAATTCTACCACTGTCCTATGACATTTTGTGACCTCCTCCATAAGGTTTATGCACAGTATATGTCCTAATCCTGTGTTTAACTTTTTATTCATTTTCACAATCAGGACACATTCTGTCACTGTTCACATATTAAATCTGAAAGGTTTACCATCGTTTTTTTTTTTTACCTGTCCATTCCTTTGTCCGTGTTCATACTGTCCTTGATAAGTATCCCCATTAGGCAGGACAGCCTTCCCCACTCCGTGCCTCTCCCCGGCGTCATTGCGATCCCCTTCGTACTCCTTGATCGCCAGGCATTGCAGACAATTAAGGAAGAGCAATTAGAAACGCTTATATGAAGAAAACGTGTTTCACAGGCGTACCTAAGAGAACAGGGCTTTCAGCTGCCGCCAGTTCAGCAATCCAGCCGTCCCGGCTGTATAGGTATTCATCCTCAACCCAAATGACTGCTTAAGTAGACTAATTTTAAATTTCATGAAACGTGAAAAAACAGAACAAATGTAATACAGAAATAACTCATCTCATCTAGCTAAAGGAATACATTTATTTAGTTTAGTTAGAGTTATATCTCTTTTTTAAAATGTCTTCATTTATTTTACTTTACAATCGAAGTACAGGCCCTACTCGTTCATACGTTTTGCTTTCAGGAGGTGAATTTAGAAAAATTCTACCAGTTAAATCTTACTATGAGAATAAACAAATATTAATTGCTACTAACCCCGAGGTAGGGTCCCTGTTCTTCTTCAAATTCCTCGGATCCCACGTCCGACATAGCGCACAGCCCACCGGAGAGACTTTGCAGTCCCACAGAGATGGATACTAACTTAAACCTCGGTAGCCTAGCAACCGTAAGCGTTTGTTTTGGTAATGGATTCCATGACAACTGGGAGAAGTTTCAATTCAGACCTCGCCGCCGCCGTACTATCCTGAACCCACAGGTTCGATTAAATACGTGTTGTAGTGCGACTGAGTATAGAGGCTGTACTGTGAGAATTGTTTGACTCATTTGTTTAGTTTTTTTAAAATCAAAGTGATGACGACAGTTTCTTCGTTTACTTCATATACATGTGTGAGAATTGTTTTTTTTCCTCGACAAAACTCATTTTAACCTCACAGTCCTTTAGTTATTACTTCATGCATACTGTATGTATTCGTGATATGTATTCTGTTTGCTTTCAGATATCACTCGGATAAAATTTGGATTGAATGTAATGTTCCATGAGAAATGCATTAAAATACAGAAAGTGACTTGAGTTAAAAACAAACAGTACATTAATTAGTAAGAGTAAAAGCAAATGTTTACCCTGCAAGCATCCTCGCTACAGGTATGTACAGTACTGGAGTTGTCAGCTGTCCCTGTAATGTCCAGACACTTCTCAGAATAGGGTTTTATAGGTGCCTCAGAGTGAAATAAATTAAAGCAAACCTTTGTTAAATTTACTGCTTAATTACCTGATAAATGTCCTGTGAATGTGATAGCTTTACCTGATTTTTTTTTATATACGAACTGCAAGAAATCACACAATTGTAATTCTACATACATAAATATTTACTTTTCACTTACTGTATGAATGCAATTGTTTTTTAATAAGTAGTACAATACTACAGCATTATGGATTGGGCACAAACACTCACAGGGCTGTATTCCTCTTATTAAGTCATAAGACTACATGTGACTTTTGAATGTGGTTGTCAGCTCACCCGGTATCTCAGTGATCAAAGAGCCCCAGTCAAGTCATCTTGAATGTATATCATAACATAATGTAAAAAAGGCAGGCCAGTTTGGCCCTAAAGCACACTGCTAAATTAGCATGAACCAGATGGTGGGTTCACACAGATGGGAAAGTCTACTTTTATACATATTACTATTTCTATTTTAGTAAATTCTCAATGAAATGGTTGAGCTACTATATCTTCTAGAGGGCTTCCTCAACCATGGAGTGAGGAGATGGGCCATGTGCCTCACTGAACCTGTCATACTGTATAGACAAACCTCTGGAAGTGCACTATAAATAGATGGTTTATTTTGTGTTATCAGTTATTTTTACAGAATGGTACTGCTGTGTGATTGAGTTTGTGACACCCGTTGTGTGTCTGGTGTCTGCATAGGCTGTCACTACCAGCCTTCCTACACTTTGGCACCTTCTGGCTGCACTTCGTGCTCTCTGGTCTTCAATTCAAAGTCCATTGGTACAGACCTCCTGCTATTCCCCATCAGAGCTGGGGAATTACAGCTGAGTCTCCTGCTCTCCAGCCTCAAAACCACATGTTCATTAACATCCCAGTGGGCAGCCCTTCCAGGTCAGCAAATCACCAATCAGTCTTCCATTTCACCTTTCTTTTTTCTCACAGTTCACACAAGTACTTTTCTCTCTCGGTTTTGTCTCACTTGTGCATGGCCAGCAAGGAAAAAAGACCTGTCCATCAGAAATTCTTTGCAAGAAACTCCCCAACAACCCCCCCCCACACACACACACACACTCCTCTGGGCTCCTAGATGACACATGCTGTCTTCCTGAACACCATTCACTGATTCACATTGTTTGAATCAGGCACTTCAAACAATCAGACTTCTGCTTGAAATACAAGGATGTCTTTCACTAGGCTGTTCCTCAGAGCCCCAGCAGAAAGCGTGGAGTCCATTCCAGCTTTTCACATGTCTCTGCGACACCCACAGGCTACAACACTTCCATGGCCACACCTGCACAAATTATCTTCAGGAGACCATGATCACACACTCACACAGCAGTCAAAGTGCTGCTTTTCTTGCACCTCTGCAGCAGGCAGTAATCAGGAGGTACTTGACCACACTGTGTCCCCTGCACAGTGAAAACAAACACTTTAGCATTTCCACAGCACAAAATTAATTCATGTTGGATTCAGGAGAGTTCTCCATTGACATGTATTTCAGCTTTTAGAGGAGTGACATTCTACTCCCTTTCCAATCTGTGCTGTTTCTCTGCATCCCAGGGGAACCTGTGCAGTCTCTCTCTTGAGAGGTTAGACATGCCATAACTGATCAATACATGAAATGGACACAGGCTGACATCCTCTCACAAGGACCTTATTTTCTTTCAAACTAAGCACTGAATTAGTTAATTGATCTGATTCTTAGATTAAGATTAAGCTGATCTTCACCCACTGAGGTCTGCAAAAGCATTTTACTTACACCAAGAATTAAAGAATTCAGGAATATATCAGCTGGCTCATTTAGACAACATGAAACAGCATTCATCTATAATATACATATATAATTTATTATTATATCTATACAATAAATATGTTTAAGTTTCTCAAATGCATTTCACAAATGTAAAACATATATTGTATAATTAAAAAGTAAAAATACTTAACTATTCAATATATTATAGCAATGAGGGAAATTAATCAAATTAATTTCAAAATTGATTTTAAGCTTACACCAAAAACATTAAAATCTTTATCATTGCTTTTTAGACACCAAGCACTACAAATATTTCCTTCTTATGCAAAGAAAGGACAAAGATGCACCTGAAGAGAAAGAATTCAATGCTGGGTCAAAGGGTAGATTAAGTTCCTCTACACGCATTTTGGTGGATGTACATAGTATTTTGGTGAGAGAGTGCACATCATGCAGCTTTCAATACCTTTAAATGCACATGAACTTGAGTAAAACCCCAAAGTGGTGGCTGTCTGTTGGTGGGTCTTGCACAACACAGGACACATGCAGCATACCGTAACAGAGAAAAAAAAAGAGAAGGGATGCCCTTGTTTTACTAAGTACAAAATTACAGTCTTTAAGAAAAGAAGAAGTCTAAGCAAACATATTTAAGAAGATATAATCCAAGATCATTTATATGAGCCTTACTAACATCTTCTGTTACCTGTCTGTAGCCTGGCAGCTAATCTGCTTTCTCATGTACAGTGCATAGACAAACACACTGACAGAATCACAGTCAACAGTCAAATGCAAAGGGTCTTTAGAAGGTACTGACCCTCAGCTTTTCCAGATATAGGTTCTCCTAAGTCTGTTTCAGGTTCTCACTTAAAGGCTTACCTGATACTATATTAATATTTTCTCTTTTCTCTTTCTGTCCAGCTCAGTAAATCTCCAAATCCCCTCCATGTCAGACTCTATCAGGATTTAAGAACATATAAAGGACTTAAAGGACAAATAAAGGCCAGGATTTTCCTCTTTTAAAGCCTGTTTCATGCAATTTCTGTTAGGTGTGTCTGGTTCAACCGAAAATATATTTCCTCCTTTAGTCGCAGGGCTTTCTGGAGCTCCTAGTGTTGCTCTACATAGCTCTATTTCATGCAGACACAATTACATTGTATTTTAATTTTCCATCCAGTCTTACTTCGCCTACTAGATGAAATCCCTAGCTTTGCAAAACCTTTACAAATGAAAAATAATTAAGTAGGAGCAATTAAGCAACATACAGAATCAGCTTAAAAACTAAGCCTTAAATTAATAAATACTCAGAACATATATTGCAAATGACAGGCTTTTAAAAATATATTTTTGTTAACCAAATGAAAGGACCAGTAATTAAATACATATTCTGTTTATAGTGTTCCGCTCACAATGCTACAAATTATTAAGTGCCAATTCTAAAGACCCTGTCAGATCTTACACTGTGTGTTTCACATTTCCATTCAGTATAAATTGATTAGTGTTTGCAATTGAGGTTGGAGGAGACAAGGCTGCTGACACAAGTAATTGAGCAACTAAAAAAATACTCAGTTCTCAATTACCTTTTGTACGTCAGTCCATCATTGGCTTAATTGGGCCAATTTAGCAGCTTCTCCAACTTTGTCAAGAAGAGAGAACTATCAAACCTGTAGACACACAGATGCAAGAGTATTTTTAAATGGATATTAATTGCCCTAAAATAACATTCCATTTGATCTGAAATGTATGTGTACAATTTTTTTTAACTCTTTGACCTAAAATGTAGACAGGAGCTGCTTCTGGCACTTAGAAACACTTTGTGTGCCGGTGAAGCTATTTCATTATCTCTAAGGTTTAAAGTTAGGGACTTACTTATTTGTGCAACCAAAAGTTGATGTTCATATTGCTTTGGGGTTGTACTGGCCAACAAAATATAAATATTAAATAAGACATCCACAACTATGAATCAGTCTGGTGTACTTGTAAAACGTTTAACTCTCTTAATTTTGCCCCAAAAATTCAAAATACACTTTTCTTAATTAACGTGTCGCAGCTTAACTAAGCTACGTTTTGAAATTTGCCCCGACCCATATGAATCAAATTTCACCGCTTCATCAAGGTGTTTATGAACCTGGTTATTTATTCCTTATTAGAAATGACGAGAGATTAAAATAATCCAGCCTCATTATCGAATTGTAGTATGTTAGATTTTAAAAACAAAATGTGAAAATACGTGTATTATATTAAAAATAAATTCGTTAGACATTAATATAGATGTAAGAACGATCAATTCAAAGACATACAAACTACTTGTAGTTTAAGAATTAACTTCTGAAGTCTAAAATAGGTTTTAATCCTGTCTGTTAATTATTTAAAACGTTACAAATTGTCACAATGAGGAAATACATTGTTCTCGTTAATATTTTTGGTATTATATTGCGTTGAACATCAGCTGGAGGAGAATATATTGATAATTTGGAACATTTAAATCTAGTTGTGAACAGTATTTGTGCAGTTTTGAAATAGTGATATCTGGAGTGCGTTGAAGCTCTCTCACGTAGTGCAATTAAAAAAGAAACAACCTTTTAGAAATTCGCCCTTTATGCATTTCTTTTTAAAATATGTTTCCTTGTCGCTTTGCCACACCAAAACAAGTAAAGTAAAGGTATCACGTCAGACCGGTTCCTGGTTTTGACGTCAAGAAGAGCTCGGAGCTCTTCAACAGACTGGCGAATCAGGAAGTACAGCAGTACCTTACTTGACAGTCAGACACATGAAGTGATTCACCTCAGGTTCTTCAGTTAACCGGTAAGTAAAGGCTGTAATGTCTACAGACGTGTCTTGCTGCATTTGGAAAATATTTGCTTCAAGTTATTACAGCAACCATAATCTCTTCGTGGGCTAGAAATGGCTGCAATATATAACTATTCCTTAACAGGTAAGGATGCAATTTGAGAAGTACTTCCGAAATGAAATTATCTTCATTAGGATTTCGTTTTGTTGTTGTTGATATCTCCAACCTTACAGATCTAAGGTGTTTATCTAATGTTTATGCTAACGTTGTGAGGAATAATCCGATCGCTTCCCAACTAAACTTTTAATGTTGTTGTTGTATCTAAACGTTATTCGTATTTGGTAAACTACAGCTGACAAAAATTAAAATTATTGGCAAAGATTTTTTAAAACACCTGATTTACAGTTCTGTGTGTTAATTAAGAACATTTGCTGTTTATAAGGAAGTGCTGTTCAGAAAGGCAGTTTTAAGTATTTTCACAGCCTACATCACCGCACAAACTTTTTACGAAGACACTATCACGTCGTCCTTCAACGGCTATCTTTAAATAGGCAAGACAACAAGGTACAGTACTCTTTTGAAAAAAGAGTGCAATCGTTATTAAGACCCTTAATCTTAGTTTCTGGTCGCCAAGTTTCTGTATAACCTGAATTGCTTTTCCGGCCCTGGCAACACCAACAATGACAGCTCCATTCATATAGGCGTGTGTGAGGCGTGTTTCAAGTTACACTGTTACGGTTGTCATAGATAGTATTGTGCCATAGTCTCCCGTATAAGAAATTGGGAGCAAATGAATGTGTTAGATTCGAACCCACAGCTGCTTCTGTCATACCACATCCTTACGAGGAAAAATCTTTACAGAATTATACAGTAAATGCTATTTCTTAACACCTCTCTGGTTTCCTTCCACAATGAATTAATATCCTGATAGACTCATATAATATTCATTTATAGTTTTATCACGTCTTTATTATATTCTTGCCTTTTTTGTGTAACCCATATTCTCGAAAATGTTCTAGTCGTTATTTAGCTGTTGGACGTCTGCTTTCACAACACAGGTGTAATCTCGATTCATAAAAGGGAGTTCTGTCAGCAGTACAGTTAAAAAAAGAGATCGAAGAGAAAGTGTAATTTCCTTTCCTTTTTATCAGAAATAGCACTCAGTGGATGACCCGTCCCAGAAGTGGTCGCTAAAGAGCGCTATCAGTCCCCCAGGGGCGTATGTATTCGCAAGAGTCTCATGCGCAGATACATACACCAGACAAACCTCCGTAAATTTAACAATGTAAATCCAGTATTATGAGAACAGTTACTATTTTGTTTTTAGCTGAATTGCTACTTCATCGACTATTTGGTCCCACCTCGTTTCTCTTTGCCCTGCCAGTACCTAGAACGTCCCAACAAAATGTTTCGGACAGTTTCAAACTAGGAGTTACATGTTGAGTAAAGTAGTGGCAAGAGGGAGCAGTGTTTTCCACGACAGTTCATGTTTAATATACAGTATTAATGCAACTGTGGCACGTTAACCAGTGAACAGCGTTTAGCAAATAAAAGCAGTGTCACTTTTATCTGTACTTGTAATTCAAGACTGAGTATTCCCCAGGCTTATTCCATGTGGTATCTGGTCCTGGCCCTGCGCTCATATTGAATACAGTTCACACAACTGAACGTTAATGTAGTCAGCATGCATTATTTTTTAGTAATGTTCGATTAGTTAATGATGAATATGCAACTGTCCATGTAATATGGGAGTTAATTGTTGTTCATGTTGAACTAGTGTCAGTATTTTCCTTACTGGATTGCTTTATAATGCAAACTAATTATAATAATGAATCAACTCCATGATTTAATCAGAAATGGCATAGTGAAATGTGCAATAGTTAGCATCCCTTCCATACAGTGATGGGGCCCTGGGTTCAGTTCTTTGGGTGGTATCTGCATATTGTATGTTCTCCCTATGTTCATCTATGTTTCCTCTGGGTGCTACAGTTTCCTCCCGTTAATTGACATCTGGGGTAACTAGTCCCGGTGTGACTTTGTGTCTGTGTGTGCCCTGAGATGGGTCATCCAGGGTGTATTATGCTATGTGCCTGTTGCTTGCCAGGATAAGCTCTGGCTTCCCCATGACCCTGCATTGAATAAAGCTTTTAAGAAATGGATGGATGATTTAATAACTAACAGTGGTGGGTGGGCATTGAAATAGTGCAAAGTTGTACATTTGTATATCTTAATGCATGTTTGCAGGCAGAGAAGAGAGACTAGCAGACTAGGAATCAAAGTATAAAACAGACATTTCAGAGTGCTGTAATTGGAGAAAAAACATAAAATCCAACATACAGACTCCATAGACACTGGTTCTGAAGGTCAGAGCCAGGAACATGGAGCTCTGGAACAGCAGTGTTAATTACCTCTCCACCATGTCCCCTCTTTTCATTCTGCCTCAGTAGAAACCAGAAATTCACTAATCCCGGCTTCGTACATTTAACTGTTACACCTATAATACAGAAAGACTAACTGCATATAATATTCCTAATGTATTTAATTAAACATTGTGGCAAATTGTAAGCAATACAAAATAGAGCAAAAAATGTAAAGTACTTTACAGTTAGTTGCTTGTTAGAAAAGGGAAACATCTTTTTATCCTTATTTTTTTTGTTTCTTCATATGTCCTATGTGACTTTACAAGATGCCCATGGATGGACAGTACAAAGCTTCTTTCTAGCAGTGTGTGGTCCATTCAGTTATATATATATAACATTACTTTATTAACCCTTTACAATTTCTTGCATAAGGAATTATCTTTTCGCATACCCCAGCTTGCTCTCCATGAGACACACAGATAGGGAGAGAGCCTGGGGTCAGAGCGCAGGGTCTGCCATTGTACGGCGCCCCTGGAGCAGTTGGGGTTAAGGGCCTTGCTCAGGAGCCCAACAGAGTAGGATTCCTCTGCCGGCTGCAGGATTTGAACCAGCAACCTTCTAGTCACAGGCACAGATCCTTAGCCACAGAGCCACTGCTCCATGGTGTTACATGTTCTTTTCATACATCCCAGTGAATGAACCACCTGTGGTTCCTATAAATCCCAGTCAAAAAGTCATTTTTTTTGCTGAGATTTGCAATAGCAAAATACATATATGCATTTTTAAACAAAATTAAATCCCCAAGTATTTTTCCCAAGTATTCCCCAAGTATTGTGTGTTTTTTACATCTTGGCCTACAGGTTCAAAAACTGCAGCCGCACACAGGTGAGAATGATGAAGCCAAGGCAAACACCTCTGACCCAGCGATCTTCGAACCACTCATCTTTTAACACATCACACCCTCTTAGCAGAACAGCAGTGCCAATTGGAGGAGAGTCGTGTCTCTCCCTCACAGCATGAATGCCTGCAAGCTCCTGGGAAACTGCAGGGTATGCTGTGTTGGTGAGAAAGATCTGGCTAACTAATTCTACTCTACTCTCAGATCAGCCAGTTGTGCACAATTGCTTGAGGGAATCCCAGTAACAGCTGAATAATGAGATGACCCAGGCTCTTTCCTATGATCATTTGAGACACTCAGTAATCCCCAAGAATATATATTTTTAAAATCTGAAATCTGTTCTTGAAATTAAATGCTCTTTTGTTTATCTTCCAGTGTACAAATGAATATATTTCCCTGAAGAATACTTTTGGAATCACTGCCTTTTGATGCCATGTAGCCGTGCCATAATTCTTCAGAATTTCATCTCTTGGCAAAAGTGAATCCTTCTTCCCCAGCTTTCTAGTCCAAGTGCTTGAGAGTTGACAGAAAGTAAATGGCTCCCATTCCTCCAGGAATTCGACTCCTGTTTTCATTTACAAGAGATCAATGGTGAGTGTCTGAGTACATTCCTACGGTGCATGATTAGTCATTTACTACTAAAACATAATTGAATTTACTAAAGCAGGTATAATGGGTTTGATGTGCACTGTGTTTCAAATTTTGAAGCCCATTGTACAATTTAGAGGGAAATATAACCTTGACTTCCTGGCTACTGAACATTTAAATCCACGCTCACTCTTCTCCAAGTCAGTTGTTTTTATGCTGTGGTTGATAGTTGTTATTGTAAAAATTTCAAGAATGACAAATAGCCACTATCATTTTTTTAACATACTGTACATTTGTAAAATAAATGAAAAGCAGGATACAACTGTACCATTTTAATCTTTTTGCAAACATCAAGGTGGATACAGGTAGGGTCAAGTCAAAAATAGACTGTCACTGCATTGCATTTTATTACTAGAAAATGTTTAAATTTGATGAAGAGAGGAACTGATGTAGGAGGTTTCTTAATTTCTCACATAGAGTTTTGATACCATGGTTCATCTGTGAATGTCTTACTGTAAAAAACAAGTGTTTTCAGATTTGCAGATATGAGCAAAGGGTCATATGCTCATGACCCTTGGAGCAAACAGGATCAGAGTATTTGAAGGTCCAAAAGACAATCTCTCAAAGCACTGTCACATAATCTAGTCATAATGCCACAGATCCTGGAATCAAAATTGCTGCCACCTCTATGTATGATAGCACCGCTGCTATTAATTTCAAATGCTGTAATTACTAAATAATCACTGTAGACAGCCTACATGTTGTGATGAACTTAGATTTTGATACACTCCCTAAATCTTAACTTCTGTTTACAAAACACAAATGTTTTGTTTTTCGCTATCTTTTCCATGGGCTGTGAAGAGCATGTCATTTTACTTATGAAAATCACTTTTGATATACATGGCAATGTAATACCAACATCTAATTTAAAAAATGCTTACTTATGCTGCCACATAGGAGACCCAGATATCTCACTTTTAATTAAAGTTCCCATTTATATATTGAAGCAAAAAAGTTAAAATTCCAAACACCTATTTGTAGACATTAAATACAGTGAATAGTTTTCCTAAAACATCTGTGTGATGCTCTATGTTACATGTTGCCAAGCTGTACGTGTGCAGAATTTTAGAGAGTGTAGTCTTGAGAGACAGAATAAGCCAATATGAAAACCCTGCAAATCCTAACATTTTTGACGTGAGTTTGAGTGAAGAAATAAGTCGGTCTTCCATTTCCTCAGATGCTTTCTTACTATATCAGTGGGAGATATGTCTCCTCCTTGTTCTTGTTTTTATTATATTCTTGTGCACATGTAAGGGTTAGTGAAATGATAAGGTTTTCTGTTGCTACTCTGTTTACACTACTCAGCCCCATGGTTTCTGGAGAAGGGTTCTGTATGTCTGCTAAATTATTTTCAACCCTGCAGCTCACATGCTAAATCAAACCTAATTACTACTTATGAAGATGCAAAATAGCTGGTTGGTCGTCAACATCTATAAAGTTTCAATTTCCTGTAGAAAATTATAGACGAACACTAGTGACATCTTCCTTTTCCACCTCTTCCATAAAGCATCCTTTTTAGGATAATTGCAGTGTGCTCTATAGGGCAATTTCTAAAACCTTTTCAGTGTGGGACAGCAGAAATCTCAAGCAGACAGCTAAAGGCTAAGACAATGCTAATACATGAAAATATCTTGTATAATAGGACTATACACTCATACACATCAAAAGATGACTGTTACACATAAAACTAAAAATATTAAGAAAACATTATTATGTTGTAATAGTGTTATATTAGCTTGTCCATCCATTTTTAAACCATTTCATCCAATTCAGGGCCATAGGGGAGCCAGAGCCTATCCTGGCAAGTAGTGGCTGCAAGACAGGATACACCTTGAAGGGGACGCAAGTCCAGCACAGGACACACACAGATACTAACACACATACAGTACTTACACCAGGGCCCAGTTGGCCAGAAGCTACCAGTACATCTTTGGACTGTGGGAGGAAACCAGAGAACCTGGAGGAAACCCATGCGAACATGGGAAGAACATACAAACTCCATACAGAAAGCACCCTAGGAATTAAATGCTGCAAGGCAGCAATGCTAACCACTGTGCCCTGGCCGTGGTGCCCTGTTATGCTAAAAATAAGTCAGAACAGGAATATTCTAAAGATATAAAATCATAAAGATTTGTTTGAAACCCTGAAAACTTCTAAAGTCAATTTATGTAAGAAGGTTTTCATAGTTATTCCAAATACAAGGTGAACATTTAATAGAAATTCCTTTTCCATAACCCTTGAGAGGATTTAAAAAAAACTTTTTTTCCAGACTTTTTATTTCAACACTAGCTCTAGGTGTCAAGGAAGGAGCACAGCCAGAATGATTCATTACTACACACAGCTTTAACTCAGTTATCCCCCCCAGCTCTGTACAGTGTGTTTGCTCCTTGGCTGTGCATCTGTGGCTTTATTTGCAGATTATGTAACCCAAGTGAGGGAGGAGAGATTGGTTAAGGGTTCAGTGTCTCTGTTTGTTTCCAGGTACAAGGCCTTCACGTTTGTCCTGACTTTCCTGCTGTATACCAGCTATCACCTCTCCAGGAAACCCATTAGCATTGTCAAGGTCAGTTGCAATATGCAAACATCTGCAAACATGTTGTGGACAGTTCAGCAATTTTTTTCTTGATTAGTGGGGCATAGTGGTTCCTTTCTGTGTTTTTTTTATGTTCTGTGTTTTTTATGTTGACATTTAGATTAAATCACTTTGTTGCCTTTGGCCAATCACTTTACTAATGAGGTGATTTAATGCTTATGCAAACAGGTCACTTGCAAACAGGTCATCAATCAATCAATCAATCAATCAATCAATCAATCAATCAATCAATCAATCAATCAAATTGTGCCAAAATATTTAATAAATATCCAAAATCTTTAAACATTATTTCAGTAAAAAATATACTTTAAAAGAATGCTAAGTTATTTTAAAATGCTCTGTAAATGGTTTTGAATAAAATGCAGGGGTACATTACAGGGCAGAAAAATGTGTTCACAGTATAAATTCATGACTGTCATGCTGCTGTTCATTGTGTGTTCTGAAAGAAGTGCACAAGTGAACACAAACTTATGGTGACCATCCATCTGGGCAGTAGTTACACAGCACTTACACAGGATATGTGCTTTTGTTATTCCTATTTACAATGATTAAATATTATTATAACTAGCTTAGTGTTTGTGCAGCAGAGGGTTGCAGTGTCTGTGGGATTTTGTTTCACTTCTGTTCCGAATAAAATAATCTTGAGTATTAGTGCTCAAATCAAATTTAATATCATATTAAAATTTCGTATCATATTTCTTCACTTATGATTTAAGGACTCTTACATCCTAGAATCAGCCTAGAAAATCATTCTAGAAAGTCTAGAAAATCATTCATACTGAACTCAATCATTTAATTAATAATTTATTGATCCCTCAACCCTTAGTCATTTTCAGCACTCTTTAAGTAGCTCTTTAATAGATATATTAAGCACAACTTTCGCCTTGGTTTAAAATCGTGGCTTTTATTGAATATGTCTTATTGTTGACCAATTAATGATTAGCAGGCACAGCTGGGAATGACACTATCAAACACTCTTAAAATAAGTGTGGTAACTGGTGGCTAGTCTTCCAGCCCAGGAAAAGGAGCTCTATGGAGGTGTTTATTTACATAATTACTTACAGAAAACTAAATGAAACAAATGAAAAGCCTGATTCTGTATTTGAAGCACCGACTAGACTCTTTAAGGTCCCTTTCTATTCAGCAGTCTCCTCTTTAAACAGCTAGTTTGCTTACAACTCATAAAAAAACAAAGCAAATCCATTTTCTCATTCACATTTCTAGTAACCAGCACACAGCCTTTTAACAGCCGCTTTTCTTCATCAGCTCACCCAGCAGACCGGGGCATTTTCAGCACTACCAGCCTCGTCCTCATTCTGCTGTCCTGGGCTCTCTATAACTCTATAGAGTACCACAAATCCCTTCCTTCTTTATGTTCACCTTTGCCACTTGGTCTTGAATGAGAACAAGTCAAGTATAAGGTTTAGGCTTAAATAGAGAAGATCACACAGGAACCTGAAACAAGTATTCAAAATCTTTGATGTGCAGTATTTCCTGACTACTGAAGGTTTAGGGGTAGTAATCCTCCTTGTTTCTAATGCATCTCTGTCCCTTATAGTGTCACAATATCCATTGAGCATCTGCGTTTCAGTTAGTGAATATGGTCAGTGGGATATGAAAACAACAAAGCTTTTTTATTTTATTTTGGATGACCTTATTTTGGATGTATTCCTTGAGTAACACCAACACGCTATTGCAATACTGGTTGATGTACCTTTTGAATTAAAGGGGAACTGCAATGCTATTTTCATGTTTCAGGATTAGAAAGAATCAGCATTGATGAGTGCCTTTCAAACTACTTCAAACAAAATAAAAGTGTAATGTACGCAGGAACTTGTAAAAATCTCACACTACACAAAAAAGAGAAAATTTCCGAGTAGGCGCAACGCCATGTTCAGCGATTCATGGGAACTAGAATGCGAGTTTGAGACATAATGGTGACTTATAATACTTTTACAAAGTTCATGATTTTGTGCTTAATTCAAAATTTGTTATTTTTTTCTAGAACATTAATGAGTTTATTTTGTTACGGCGATTTAATAACCAGTCTGAGAAATTGGGACTGCAGTTCCCCTTTAAGATGTATCAAAGGATTCCCTCTGATGTGTCCTCATGTGTATGGTGAATCTCCAGGGGGAGTTGCACAAGAACTGTCGCCCCTCCACGGAAGAGGATGTGCCCCTTGTCCAGAAGGCCTCTCTCCAAAACAGTGTATCTTGTGGCTGGAAGCCCTTCGGTAAGAGAAGAGACATTGTTTATGACTGCAGGGCACAACCCCCTGCCTCTGAGGACTACAGTGCCTCCTGATTCTCGTCTGACCTCTCAACTTCATGCTTATCTGGTTAATAATTTGTTATGAAGTGAACCAGTTATACCTGTTGTCCAGGTGTAGCAGGACTGTGGTCTTCCTGAGCTGGAGTTATGCCCCCTGTATTTTAAGGGCCGAAATTAAATGAAACCATGTTACACCCACCTTCTCCTTGACTTGGGTAATATGTTGTCCCTGTTTGTTTTTTTTCAGACAACTCCAACTATAATGAGTTACTGGGAGCAATGGATTATTCTTTTCTCTGTGCCTATGCTGTTGCAATGTACTTCAGGTAAATGATTAAAGAAATAATTTATAACATTCCGGATATGATGAAAATAATGCAGAAGAGCTGAGTCACAGCTAAATAAACACTGGTATTTAGTCCGTAATGGAATGTGTTTTATTGCTATTACTGTACATTCATTATTTTTCAATACTAATTACCTAAATAAACATGTTACATACTTAAGACTTCAAGGGGTCTTAAGAAGTACTTAAGAAGTATCAAAGAGGTAACTTTATAAGCATTCCATTTAAGAAATAAATTCACCTTTGTCTTTATGTCTTTGTTAATTAAGCATTACAACATTCTCAAATAGTGCTGTTTTTTGCCCCCTTCTGCCAGATCTTCCAGAAGGGACCAGAAAAAGCCAAATATAAATCAGCAGTGCTTTCTGTTGGCCAGTGTCTTTTTGTTTCTAATCCAAACAAAATCTACCATCACTGACAGCAGTGAGTGGAAAGATAAGAGTTTTGATTCACTCCTGACCTTGAAGGAGATGAGAAACTGAATGACAAACATTGCTTTGAATAAGTTAACGGCTGCAAGCCCATCATGTTCTTGAACCAGAGTATTCCCTTTAAACACTTTTTGTATTTTTTAACCTTTTTATTAATTTATTATTTAGATTAGATTGACTATTTAATGTGCCATATTTATGACTATTAAAATTTTAATAGCACAACAGTTAATAAGTGGCAAACCTTCTTGAAACTTGCAAAGCAGTTTGTAAAGACAAGATTGCAACATCCACAAAAATAATTTTAAGGCCTGAATACACAGAGCTGCCAGATGTTCTGTTCTGGGTTGATATCCGTAAAATTTCTGTAGTCAGTGTTCATGAATTGTTGGTCAGGTCCCATCCATGTGGTGTGATCTGCATGTCTTGTAGGATTTCTAGTTCTCTTTACCTTTTTGGATTTCTAAAAAACAGCAGCCAATTGATGAAAACTCTTGTTTCCCAGCCTGTGGCCAGAAAACAGACCTCTGTTAGAGCAGCTGGATCTGCTGGCTGCTTTTTCTTTCTTATCTCTCAAAATCCAGACATTAATAGGCACTAAGATCTTCCTGTGCTATTTTTTCTACTGGCTTTTTTTTACTGTAACAGTGCTGCCAGGAAGTGTTCTTGGGAAGACCCCAGTGCCTGAGTAGCCAGTGTTGACTGACTAGTTAATTAGTTAATTTCCTTATTGTTTGGTATTCTTATGTTCTCCTCTCCTCCTATTTTCCCTTCGTTAAGTAGTAGCATTATTAAAAATATAGCCTTATGGAAAAATAATGTTTTTAAGTACAACTACAAACTCCAGTATAACAGCAAAATAGTTATAATTAGCGAATTAATTTTCTAAAATAATTACCCCTTAACAGAAAGCTATACAAATAAAGAATTTGTATTGCTGTGCCTAAGAATTATGCTGGAATTTAGGTTAAGGAGTTAAGAAAAAGTAATTTCTCCACTACCAAAATGCACTTATTGCCTTCATTTGCCACCTTTAGATGACTTCCATTGCACTTTGATGTATGTCACAGATGTCATAAAGCAGTCTGGTTCATTATAGGTCAGTTGATTATACAGGTTTGTTCACTGGTAAGTATTGTTTGTGGTGCTAGCAATAACTCCAGTGTAAGTCACCCTAAGGTGTGACCACCCTTGTGAAGTTAATGATTGATGAGTCTGTCTGCAGGCAGTCAATTCTGGATATCCAGGATTAACTGGTGACTGGGGTGGGAGAATTAGCTGTTAGGGAATCAAAGATCTATGTTTTTGTTGGGAACCTTTTGAAAGTAATTTACTTTAATAAAAGTGTTAAAAATAAATAATATTTGTTTTATAATAATCCATCCATAATCAGATAGATGGTCATTCCTGGTAATAGTCACAGCAGCCCAGTGCCAAAATTATTGAAGCAGAAGGCACAAGATGGGACTGCAGCTGCAAGAGACAGCTGCATAGCACAGGGCACACACAAACAGGCAAAGAAGCCTGCTGTACAGAATTGAACCCAGGTCTCAAGAACTGTGAGGCGGCAATGCTAAACTGCCATGCTATTAATAATAACAACAAGAAAGTGAATAGATCAGTAAAAAACACATTAACTACATGGGTAGGTCATGGCATAAAATATTGTTTTTCAGTGAGATTTGAATGTACTGTAGCAACTGAAATCCAGGCATTGCGTCATATTGGTGCAATGTACTCGAAACACCTACCAGCTCTGTTTCTGAAAGAATAGTACAGATGAGAGAAGTTCAACTTCAATTATTAGAGCCTTGCAGGGGCTGAAAAACAGTAGAGATCTTTTCATTCAACTTTGACAAACAGCATCTTTGATTTACTTGCTCATTGTTTGCATATAGTATTTTATTCAACATATGCTGCCTTGTGTAGGTTAAATTAGATATTTAATTAAATTCCTACAGCCACTGCATGCAGAGACAAATTATTATTACAAATTATATTACGATTTACAGAAATAAACAACCAGCCCTCTTCACTATCAGTATTAATATCTGATCGTCTAAAGTCCTTATTCCTAGCAGTGTGCACTTCTGAAAACAGCGCACTGACCTCAAATACATTAAAACCTCCTTTTATAATTGACAAATCTTTTTGTTTTTTTACTTTTGAAAGATATCTTAAAGATTAAACAGAGGATAATTCAAATCCCACTTAAAGTAGCCTTTGTCCCAACCTACAACTGAGGTAATTTAGTCTTACCAAATAATTAGCTCAATTAAGATCAGGGGTAGAGTGGAATTGTTCAGCACTCATATACAGGTAGATAATACCCTGGCCTCCTGCGTTTGGAGTGACCTGTGTTAGGAATGTTAGGTATGGTAAGACAGCCAAGCCCATTTGGTTGTTGATAGATTAAAAGCAAATCCTGGATTGTATGGTGAGCCAATGCAGAATCACGAGAGATGATATGCGTCATAGTCAAATCTCTTACAGTTGCAAGTTGTGCAAGAGCTAGATTAGACACAACATTAACACCCATAAAATAATGCTACAATAATCAGTAAAAGTTCAGTGAATTATTTGATCATTCTGAACTCAACTCACTTTTCATCAAATATAGTTCCATTTTTTGTTAAATCCCTGTGCCTTATTAACTTATTTACTTTATCCCACCATTTATAACAATTATTTTTCAGACCCATTTTAGTTTTCTTTATTTTTCCCTGAAAAGACATCAAACTTTTGCACTTCTTGCACCCCCTGAAAGAGACCATCGGACTTCTGTCTAAAGTCTGTAGAAATGTTTAAAAAATAATATGACATAAAATGGCTTTTCACTTCTCAAAGAAAGGATGTACAGTACTCTGTTGAGGAGAACAAACAAAAGAGGCTTTCAGTTCCATAACCTCGTAAGACCCCAAGTGGTAGTGCTATTGTAGGACAGGAAAATGAAACATGATTTGAAAAATAATAATGTCAGAGGGAAAAAAATGTATGTTTGGAATTCTGTTTTTTTATATTTAATTTTACTATAATGAATGGTTTTAAAGTAATGTCTTCTTCCTGATTAAGAGACAGGTAATGAATGCCTTCAGGACTTTCAGAGTTTACTAAGATCATAAAACATCCAAATGTTGTATTTGTGAGTGTGAACATACACCTGGTAAATATGGAATTTAATACTTGTCAGCAGATCTCTTGCTCGGCTAGTTAGAAAATAAATTCACTGAGGTGTAAAATGGTAGGAGAGAGGAATGAAATGTGAGTCAAACAGGTTTGGGTACATGCAGGCTGCCTCATTCATCATTTTTGTTTCTGAGTTACACATAAGGGCAGCTTAGTGAAAGCATTAGGGCATTAGCACCTAACCCTATTTTGTCATTTTTGCATTTTTGTGATTTTTATTAATGAACGTGATTCAGCTCAAAATATGTTTAGAAGAGAAAATAAATATGTTAATTAAGAGCTTAGTCATGACACTTTGAAATTGCACTTAATATTTGTTATATACAACACCTCCTACACCCACTCCTTCTATTCAAAGCAACAAAAAATAAATAAATAGATAATTTATATCCATGAAACATGGCATTATTGCATAAGTGTTCTAACACTACAGAAATCTAAAATAAAATTACCTGACTTCTTCTTACATATACAGTAGTTACTGGAATGGCCTTTGTCTGTGTGCAATAATACTGTTCCTTATGATTTCAAAACAACTCAGGCATAAAGTTTTATAATGGTACAGATCAGGAGGAGGATATAAAAACATTTCAAAGACCCTCCATGTCTGTTTGAGCATGGTAAAATTGATCAGTGAGAAGTAGAAGGCACCCAGACACTGGGTATAGATCAGTCTGTCCCTTCAAACAGCAGATAAGTAAGGAAAGGTCTTAGCTACTGTATACAACAGTAGTACAATAGTGAATTTTAAAGAATTAGAGTTCAGTCCTTTTGATTAATCATGGGGATGTACAGTATGAAAACAGCTGTGAGTAAGTGATCCTCAAGCAACTTGAGAGAACCTAAGCACACCTACCAAGAAGAATGGGCAAAATTGTACCAAGGCAGTATGTAGCCAAAGACTTGCAGCTGTATTTGCTACAAAGGTATTTCCACCACAAACTGAGTTATGGAATCAACATATTTTCTGCAACCTATTTTAACTTTATTCTTTAATTTGAGCATTCATGTTTTTAATAAAACACTAGGTTTATAAAAGGTGTATGCTTCTTTTTTAATTTCACAAAATGCAACACCTACTGTAGGAAGAGTCTGAATACCTTTGTAAAGCACTGTAAATGCCCAAAACAGAAACCTCCCACTACATTTACAGATTCGTACAGTCAGGGGTTTGACCAATGATAATGAATATATTATTAATTGCTACTTTATTGTTCAAAGCAAAGAAGCATCCAGTTTTCTTTTTTATATTTTAAAATATTGCTCACAAAATAATTGATTTGTCCTCTTCAGGTTTTCATTCTAGCTCAGCTCTTAATAACTTGATTGACCATTTAATTGGGATATACTGTAATAAGGCCTTGAGCAGCATGGTTAGCTACTGTTAGCTACCTGTGTGGAGTTTTATGTTCTCTTTGCATTCTTTTGGGTTTCTTCCCACAGTTCGAAGATTAATGCTGGCAGATTTATTGGCTTCTGTAAAAAATGGCACTGATGTGAGTGTGTGTTTGTGTCTGTGTGTGCCCTGCAATGGACTGGAATCCTGCCCAGTCTCGCTGATGTTACTTGCCTTTTATAGGCTCCAGCTCCCTCTTTGACCCTGTACTTGATAAAACAGTTCCAAAAATGGATGGATAGATAATAAGAACTTTTTTAAAACTGGCAACTGCCTTTAGCAAATTGGATAGTGTTAAAAATAAGCAGTTACACAGTGTAATAACTCCTATGATTAACACAAAGTCAATCAAGAAACAGGAATTTAAGTATTTATTTGGGAATGCTTTTATGCAGTTTAATTCACACATTGTGACCTATAAAAAGTTGTATACAGGCAAACAGACATCACAATATACTGTACATATAGCAGGGTATTACTGAAACTAAGAAGGGAATTCTGAAAACCTTTAAAACCAGAAATCTTAAAAATATTTAAACTTGGACAGCTTAAGCAATTAGGAGTCCAGCTAGGAAAAAATGGAAGACGTAATGGGTCCTGAGGAGCAGGGCTGCCAAGGCAGGTAGATTCCACTTGTCCAGTTTGTCTTTGGTTAATATAGAACAGGGCTAAACAACTTTCTGCCCTTCCTATTTACCCCATCACAGAATTTACTTATCTAATCATGTGTCTAAAACTCAGTTCTCAAAGGGCCTAGTGTAGTTTTTGATCCACCTAAGCTCTCAGTTACAGAGTTGGTCTAATTATTTCATGAATATATTTGCAAGGTGTTTTGACATAGCAATTTAGCATATGATCAACACAAGAAAACAAAAAACAGTTGTAAGAACATGTTGTGTAATACAGTTTTTTCAGAATCCAACTGCGTTTTCCTTAATGAATGATATTATTTCACACCTTTCTGTCATTTGCGATTCATTTGGATTTTCATTCCTTTTATTCGGCAGTGGGATAATCGGAGAACGGCTGCCCATCAGGTTTTACCTTACATTTGGAATGCTGGCCAGTGGTTTCTTCACCAGTCTTTTTGGCCTGGGGTATTTTCTCAATGTCCACAGCCTGTGGTTTTACATCATGGTTCAGGTAAGCCCTGAATATGGATTTCTAGAAAAAAGAAATTTAACTTTTCAGTTTTCTTCTTTTGCAGGTAAGCAAAGTCTGTGTACAATTGTTTATCAAAGTGTCAGTTAGTGTTGTGAAAATGTGTTCTTGCTCTTGTTGTCTGTTTGACATTCTGCTCACAAGTTAAAATGTGTAGTTGGCCAGCCACTGACCACTGGCCACTTCTTTTTGGCCATGCAAGAGTTATGGGGTCTGAAACATTACCCAACCATGTTGTTCAAGCTGATACACTGACTTCCTTCAAGAAACAGCTTATTGAAATCTTTGTAACAGTCACCTACAAGCAATCAAGCAAGCCAAATGGCCAATTTGTCAATTAGGTAATCACTCACTTAAATTAATTAATCTTACAGACCAGATACAGACTCCTGAAAAATGCATTTGTATTTCTTGAAAAGGAGAAATAAAATACAATGACCAACTACAGTAAAGGAGAAAACAGAAAGAGCTGCACCCAAAGTTTCTCCTTATTGAACTACTTAATGAAGAAAAAACATTTTGAACCTTTCTTACGAACAAAACAAGATTGAACATTTAGAAAAAATGGACTCCAGAAATCTAAGGTTTTCATACAAGAAACATATAGGAAAGATATTTCAAGCTATTGTCCAGTGAGGTATCCTTTCTCAGAGTCTCTAGTAAAGAGTCTGCCCTCAGGAGGTACAACAGTTACAAGTGAAGTCTTCTTCAACTTCTGGCCTGAAGGCCACAGAAAGACATCTGAAAGACAATGCTCACAGAGCTCAGCTCTTTATGATGGGAAAAGCTGGGATGTGAAAGTTATCAATTTAATATTGATTGTGTTCGTAGTGATGCAATGGTTTTTAATGTACTGAAATTATAAGAAATTAGTATAGTAAATTGTGGAAGTGCTTTGGCTAACAATAAGCAGGCCATTGCACACAGATTTGAAATGTACAATATACAATTTACTAATACAACATCGCATGCACAGCAAACTAACAAGAAACAAGAGTAATAATATATATGTGAATCCATGGAGGATGGTCATCCTTTGAGAGATTGACCATTACCTCTGACCCAGGGTCTTAGTCAAGATTGCCTCCTATTGTGTGTACTAGACTCAGAGTAGTCATGTTAGACTATTCATCATAAGTGAGGTTGAATGCTACCAGTTTATGATGTCCTGGTCTGTATTACAGACTTGGGATATGCTCCTTATCAGAGAAGCCCCTTTCAGTTGCATTCTTAGTACTACCATGCTTTAGTCTGGTCAAGACAACAGAAACATTATTAAAAATATTTCATAACGCTTAATTCTTAGTCTTATAATACACCTTCTCACATTCTCGCAACAGAACAGCTCTATAAAGATACCCCTTCTTTAAGTGCTACTTCATGATGCCACTCACCTCAGTCATTTTGTGCAGATTCTGCATGATCTAGTGTGGCTTTAAACAGATTTATTTATCATTATCATTTTTATTTCAAACAAGTATGATCCCAAAATTTGCTAGCTCTTCAGTCTCTCTTGAGCAACTCTGTGTTGTCCTTTAAAAGCTATGGTTTAGAAAAAAAAACTGTTCTTCCAGTAGGAGAATGTAAAACCAAGAGGATAGCATTAAGTACATAAGCACTAAGAAGTACACAGCCAAATTCCACACAAGCTGGCCCACAACAACTGATCCGATCCTGCCCTCTAAGGAGCCTAGAGATAAGTGTGATGTTGGCTGGAGGCCAAACAGCCTCAGTGAGAAGACACCTCATCTGTCTCATATCCCTGTCTTTTATCTAGGTCTTGAATGGCATAGTTCAAACATCTGGGTGGCCCAGTTTAGTAACCTGCATTGGTAATTGGTTTGGGAAAGGAAGGTAAGACTTGTTTGTATTTATTCTTGTTTTTAATATTTTTTTGTGGCCCTTAAGACATTTCCACAGCACATAATACATTTAAATAGATGAAACCATCCAAATTTGTTAAAAGTCTGCATTTAAAATGGCTAAACTTAGCATGGATGTCAAATGATTTTGCTAGCAAATGTTGATTATTTTATAAAAGAAGAGTAAAAAGAAATTTGTATTGTGGTATTGTGTGTTTCTCCACTTCAGTGCAGATATTGTGTGAATGAGGACAATTTGTCTGCATTGTTGCTCTAAGAAATTAGCATGCTTCTCACTGGCATTGGTGCATTTATCAAAAAACAAAACTTATTTAAATCTGATTTTCATTTTATGGATCCAAAATGCTTACTAATGTAAGAAGACTTACATCCATAAGACTTGATAGTGTCAAAAAACCTTGCACTTTTGGTTCTTGTCTATTACTAGATATGTTTCGTTTGTTTTACTAGATATGTTTGCCCACCTTGCAGAATTTTTAACTTTGAGAGGTTGATTACATCAATCTTAATCTGTTCCTTTGAATTAATGAAAAGGTATTTAATAAATATATGATGCTGCCTGGAGCAAATGCAATGTAGGAAACTGTCTTTTCATGACTCTGTGCTGTTGTTCCTTGCTAATGGTTCTGATTTTGCTGTTTTAGAAGAGGTCTGGTTATGGGAATCTGGAACTGTCACACATCCATTGGTAACATTTTGGGGTCCTTAATTGCTGGCTGCTGGGTGTCCACCCACTGGGGGCTGTCCTTTGTGGTGCCTGGCATAATCATCGCAGTGATGGGAATTGTCTGCTTTTTGTTTCTCATAGAACGTAAGTATGGACAGATGATACATTTATGGTTCCTACCAGAAGATAAATGGATACTGTAAATTGAAAAAAACAATGCCATAAGTATGAAAGTGTAAGCATTAATACTGTAGAACACCGTAGAAATGCCTTTTATGTGTATATTTATGGTTCTGCTGTTCAGGAACAGCTGTTTTGCAGTGCCCCTTGACACCTTAATTTAAATTTCTTTTTAAATATGTTACTGTTAGGTGTTGTACAAACAGCTGAACAAACTGAAGTCAGACTATTTAAAGGCAAAATTATCCACAATTAATTATTGTTGTGGACACAACATAAACAATGAAATGTACTTGATCAGCACTTGGATCGTGGTCAAAGTAGATGCTAGTAGATAGGTATTGTGGTCTTGACTTTGCTGGTATGGAGTTTTCTTGGTTATCAATATTGTTGGAGGGCAACAGGACCTGGAGTGTCAGTTCAGCCATCGGGGGGCAGTGGTGAGACACTCTATATATGCACACAGGAATGATTTAATATCGCATTGGCACAAGGTTATTAAAGAACTTGCCTCACCGGTGTGAAGCTAGACTCCCTTTATGGAGTTAGGGGAGTAATCAGTCCAGGGCAACTCAGGAGGTAAGACACCAGTGTGGTCTAGCTCCCCATAAGCAGAGTGCCAAAGGCTCTCCATGAGCTCTGTCTTTTGTCGACTTCCCTACCAGTGAGGATCTGACTCCTCCACTGTTAGTGGAAGTAACAATTACAACTCATGTTACAATATTTGTATCCCTTACAGAACAATGATGTATGTAAGAATTTACAGGAAAACAAATACAAAAAGTTCTTCTGAAAGTTTATGTACTGCGTAATTGCTTTTGTGTCAAAACCTAACATGAATATAAATTTTAGGTTTGCTGAATTTTTGGAGAAAATAAGTCATACAATACATTTCTTTATATAATATGATCTGTGGAATTGCATACAAGATAATTGCATTTTAATGGTGATCAAGGCCTTTCAGGTGGAGGACAGAAAGAATGAGAGTTGTAACAGCGTATATGCAAATTCATGACTTTGCTTTGTGCCAATAATAAGATACAGTATACTTGATCAAACAGATAATTCACTGCATGTGGTAATATAGGTGTCTAAGTGGTTCTGTACTAGCGTTACTAAAAATAGTATCCTTTGTCTTTTCAGATCCTGATGATTTGAAGTCCATTTCCATGGAGTCCAGTGTAAGTAGTAATCACTCTTCTCTGGCTTGTATAGTAAAGTAGATAAAAAATAACTTTGGAACTAGAAATAATGGATTTTTTCTAGTTAGAAAAATGAGTGCTTTGCATGGAGATAATTATTTTTTGGAATATTTATTTGCATGATTAAATTGAAAATGGATTTTTTAAATTACATTGGAGTCTTGATATTTACCCTGTTAGAGAAATTAACTATTTACATGTGTTGAATACAAAATAACACAGATATTGTTCTAAATTCCACTATATACTTTTTGAGCTGTTGTCCTTACAGGGCTGCAGGTCACAATAAAACTAATCACCCTAATCACTTATCACAATAATCTATTATTTTCCATATTAGAAATTAATTTTCCTTGCCTTTGTTGTCTTTTGCCTTTGTTACCTGTTTCTACTGTGCTTTTAAAATTGTGGAATAACTGTAAACCTTATTTAATCTGCTTTCTTGGTTCATAATTTTAATATACTTGGTCCTCTGTTTTAGAATTACTCTTTATTTAATTTAATTACTGACAAGTAATTAGGAAAGTAATTAGGAAAGATAACTTTATTTATATATTTGATAGAAACAGGACTGTTTATTAGTTTAAAACTTGGCAAAAATAACAGATCCAGGATGCCATCTCTTAAACTGTTAGTTGTAAATACAGAAATTTGCTTCACTTTGTTTTGGTTTTATTGTATCCTTATGAATTGGGGATAAACTGATTCCCATAAACAGTCAGAGAAGGGCCCAAAATGTACCTCAGGATTATCAATATAATTGGACAGAAACAAGATCAAGAAATATGTTGTTTTTCATTATCTCAATTCAACTTATTATTGTACAGAATTAAAAAAATACCCATATTAGAGTGTTTAGTATTACAAGTTCCAGTCAGATATATTTAAAATCTAAAGATTAAAATTGTAAACAGTGTAGTTATTAGATAATTTATTTAGTTCCATTAAGTGTTAAAAAGTGCTAGAACTCAACAGGAAGTGCCTGTCCACAAAAAATTGAGTCTGATTTACCAGTACGGTGTACCAGATAGTACCAGCCTAATTCAAGCACTGGCTACTTTTTGTGAAAACATCTCGTAATACATTGGTTACTATATAATGAATGTACAGGCCACATTAGAAATGTTATTGTATCAAGCAGTCTTCATTTCTCTTTACTGGAAAAATGTGGTTAAATGAAGAGAGCAAATCCCAGAACACACATGTACAGCATCACATTAATTTATAACTTCATAACCTTCCAAGTGCTGGAAACATTTGAGAAAGATCTCAGGCACATGTTTCAGTTAAGGGTTTCAATCAAGAGCACAACTGGGAAGCAAAGCATAAGAGATCTCAGGGGTTCCTGAGGTGCAAGCCTCAAACTCCCCGATTGATTTGAACACCTGATTATTTCTCACAAGTCCCCAACTCTACACAGGGGTCCCCTATTTTGATCCTGGAGGGCCTGTGTGTCTGTGTCTGTTTACAGATGCAGCTGGTCTAAGGCTGGGGACTCCAGCCTTAGCACCCCAAAAACCCCAAAAACTAACTGCAGGGGATAGCTTAATGAAGTATCCAACACAGATATGTGCTTATCCTCAGCCATGGCCAGCAAATTGGTTTCAGCTGTGAATCATATAAGCAGCATATCTGAAACATTAACAAAGAAAACCACTGGGGCCATAAAAAGAAAACCTTGCAGAATAGTATTACTTCCCCACACTCAGTGAATCAATATAGAAAAGATATAGACCACAGATTCAAACACTCATAAATATTATATCTGCCAATCTTGCTACAGTATAAACGTTTATAGTTAAAGAGCTATCTTCAGATGTTTTTCCTTTCTCACTATTATTGCCATATTTCATTCTCTTGATTGTGATGATAGACCTAATAAGTTGCATCCTGTTTCCCAGAAGTGGAAGAAAACCGTGAATAGATTGAACGGGCTCACACACACAGAAAGTTACATACAGCATAAGGAAGGCAGTAAAGGAGAGGTGAGTCTGGCAAACTGGGTTTTAATGTAACCAGGAAGCAAAATCAAGAAGACCCAAGTTTACCCATGTGCACGCTTACCACAAGGTTCTAAACAGAATAGCAACTGAGTACACTGTGAACAGTCTCCTTACCAAGTGTTCTCCAAACTTTCCTGGGGAAATCCGCTGAGATATTCCTCTTTTACTTCCTCATAACACTCCGGATATGAGGAAGCCAAGTGCCACAAGCAAAAAAAGCTGTGAGGTGCTACAGTACATTGCCAAAGTTACATTATTAATGTTTATAGATATAGGTTTCACCGTGGGGGGGATCAGACACACAAGAGATGATCAGCAAAGAAAAAGGAAGAGATAAGAGAGGAGTATAAGGACAGGCATGGTTTTGGAGACAAACTTGAAAATTAAAGGCATTCTCTTTGTAATTAATGGCATTCTTGAGCTTAAAAGCTGTTACATGTTCCAGGTAAATCACTTAAGACAGGCAGTTAAAAAAGTGATATGTAGTTATGGATTTCATCAAAAGTTAAACTGTTCAGCAAAAATATTTTTTTCTGAAGTTATGGTGTATTGGAGCATGATGGGAACACACCCATCATAGTTTATGCTATGATTGGTTAAAAAAAAACTTTTTCTTCAGTCGATGCTAAGTCTCTCCTGTGTTAGATTCCCATGGTTCTGCTTGTTTGAAATAAAAAATAATGTCAATCTTTTGAAACCCTTTCAGTAACTTCAGTCAAGTCCCATTCACTAATAAGATGTGAAGGAAATACATACTGTATGTAGAACCTGACCTGATCTGAGTGTCATTCTAAATTGACTGCAGAGAATACAGACATCTTTTGTGTGTGACATTTCATGAATAAGTGAAAGCCTTGTTAAAAATAGCCATCAATCCATATATAGAAAAATCTCTGTACTTTATATGTTCTAATGCTTATGCAATGATCACTTCTAAACTCCCATTCATGATAGTAAAAGAAAGTGACCTGAGCTGGATGGACATAGACTATAAAACTTTCTTGAAAATGCTAGATTTCAGAGAATACACTTTGTGTATGTCTTCTTGGGTGTTCTCTTTTGGCACTAATTAAAACTCATTTTAAACCTTTGTGGAACTTGCATTGTAACTTCTTGCATCCTCTATACATTGTCCCTCTATACATTACTGGTTAACCATTTGATTTTATTCTAGCTGGAAAATTTGAAGGAATGAATGAGAGTTTCAAGTGTCAAACACCGTTAACAAAGTTTGTTTGCCTTATTGGCCAACATCTAAAATAAATGTTACCGGTTCACATTAAGATCTGGATATACTGTATTTCTATAAAAATGCTTTATAAACTACTATTTTTTCAGCTGCTGTATGTAGTAGAAATCTCTTCATTTAATCATTGGTTCTAGCAGATTGGACAGTTGGACTGGGCTTTACTTAAACACATAACTCAAATATTTTTCTTCATTCTACTGCTGGTAGTTTTGTAGAAGGGAGGTATGAAGTGTTTTGATTCTGGGAATAGCCTAATTGAATTTTCTGTTTCAGAATCCTGAGACAGCTTTGCTGATCCCAGAGGAGGGAAATGGCTACATTCCTGTGCATCAGATTGTAGTGGTGAAAAGTGATGCTGAGGTGACAGCCATCAACTTCATTGGAGCATTGAAGATCCCGGTAATGTGCTTTGCCACAATTAGACATACCTATGCCTTTTTTTCACCAAGACACGTAAACCTAGATCCATCCACCCATCTATTTTTCATGCTGAGGGTCGCAGCGCAACTTAAAAGCACAGGACTCAAAGTAGTACTGACAAGAGTGCCTAGATGTGATGCTGGTTCATGGAAAGGTCAGAACGAAAAGGGACAGTTTAGACCAACACCTGGGGAAACCACATGCACACTCCACACAAAAGGTGCTGCCCCAGCCGAGAATCAAACCCTCGATGTTAGGAATTAGTAGTGAGGACCCTATGCAGAAGACTTGGGCAAACTCCAAGAGGCGTGGTTGAAAGAACAATCTGAGGTCACAATGTGAGGTGGAATGTAGATTCCTCCAGGGGAGTGGCGTAACATTACCCCCCTCCCCAGGGGCAGCTCCTGACGCCCTAGAGGATCAATTGGAGAGACGTTGGCGGAAATCAGCAATCAGCTGTGGGTCCAAAATGTCCTTTTCAGGAACCCAGGTGCACTCCTCGGGTCCGTAGGACTCCCAATCAACAAGGTATTGGGGTGGGGGCCAGGGCTGGGGTCTAGAAAGGGGGGATCCGTGGAAAGGTTTGATAAGGGAAATGTGAAAAGTGGGGTGAAACTTCAAAGAGCGAGGGAGGGCTAAGCAATATGTTACTGGGGTGATTTGTGCCAGAAAGCAGAAGTGTCCTATAAAGCAGGGAGCAAGTTTGTGGGATGCCGATTCCTCCGGGGGCGTGGCGTAACACATGACCCCAGAGTTGTGAGGCAGAAAACCGCTATGCCATTATTCTGCATCATACTTTAAATCTGATCATTTTCACTGATGACTGGCAAGTCAAAGATGCTTAAATACTACAAAGGAGGCTAGAGAGCTACTGGTTTATTCTAAATGCCAATAACACAATTAACTTATTTGGATTTGTGCAGTAGAATTCCACTCTTTTTTCAAAGTATCTTGTCCAAAGTGGATTAAGTTAAATGAGAACAATACATCATAGTGGTTCCATTGCACAGGCCTCTCTCTAGTGAGTTTGTTTTTAACAGTATGTGCTGCTTTGTATGACATGTGATTACACTTCCTTTAAAACAATGTGATTATACTGCCATGGTAATTACTTTAATTTCATGGAAGTCCCTTAACCACATATATTTTAAAAAAACAGTATTAATCCTAGGTATGCAGAGCTTTAGCACATAAGAAAATGAGCAAAGTAAAAAAATAGAAACATTTTGCTCTCTAGCTTGATGTTTTGTTGTTTGTACTGTAGCTTAATAACACAAGAAGTCCAACATGCCATTTTGTGGAAGATAGTATGCATTACAAGATCCAAGTAGAATAGCACTGCTGCTTGATAGTAATGAAACATGTCAGAACATAAATGTTTTTGATTTAGATGCACAATAAACTCCTTCTTTAAGGGATTTTAAAAACAAAAACTTCAAAGTGGATGTACAAAAGAAAAATCGTGTTCTGGAAACTAATGGACAAGTCAGTGTTTCAATGATACACGTATGTGATAACCACAAAGACATGTTAAATATCTCTGTCTCTCTTTTTAGGGTGTGGTCGAGTTCTCCTTGTGTTTGCTCTTTGCCAAATTAGTTAGTTACACCTTTCTCTTCTGGTTGCCTCTATACATTACCAACGCAGGTATGTTCATAAATGTAATGCAGCTACAACATCTTAATATAAAGCAGCAGTGGATATACAATACTTACTATTTTAAGGTTGTATTGCTGCACCCTTTAATAACCCTTGTTATGTTTGCTGGATATTGTGTTCTGGAATGTAATTTTGAATGATTCAGCAATAGGCAAATCCAGTAAGTCTGTTTTAAGAACATACATATCGAGTACCTTCACCACCCATCCTGTAGATATTTGCTCAGTCTCACACTCATTCAGATGACTGAGGTAACAACAATGGGAGCATTTAGAGTACACATTTCCTGTACTAGAACAGTACAAGAAAGGAGACTGAATTTCCTCTGTGTGTGGTTGCTAGTAGTTAATCTGAGAAACTCATGAAACCTTTTCTTGAAGGATCACAGGACAAATTAATTTAACAATACATAGTCAGGGATACATGGTAGACATAAACCTGCACAATAGATGGTTCAAATTAATGCTACTTTAAGTAAAATCAATATTGTCTTAAACTAAATAAACTGAAGATTTAATTGAAATTTAAAATAACCCTGCTGTTCTTACTCATTAGTATGAATTTGGTTCCAGGAAGTTTTGTACCAAATGTTAACAGCAACATGAGCAACATTCTTATGAATGTATTTACTAAATGAAATGCCAGGATATTTGCCACAAATCTGTCTTATCTTAAATTACTTTTCTTAGATTTTGTCTCTGTGAAAGCATGGATATCGTGGCTCAATTCTTATGTTGCTTTTTTAAGCCCATTTAGATGCCAGGAGGGCTGGAGACCTCTCCACACTCTTTGATGTGGGAGGAATTTTTGGTGAGTACTGCAATAAGAACAATCTTAATCTTAGGTTTCAGACTACTGGTCTGTGATTGGCATGTTTACTGTAAGGTAGCTAGGAGCCTGATGTAGACCTGTCTTACAGATAGCCAACACATGGTATATAACCAAATATTTTGATTGAATGTTTGACTGAACTACAATGTGTTTAATCATTAACAATTAACAATACATATTGGCAATTACTGATGCCTGGTGGACAACATAGAGAAGCATGTAGGGGTCTTAGAGGGCTGTATTAAAGTTCCCTCTACAGACATTCCCGTCTCCTTAGGCCAGTTAGTTAAGTGAGCCTTTATAAAAGTATTGTACCTCCAGGTCACCCCGTGTTTAAATGGGTACCCACATTGCTGGAGGCATCTCTGTGCCCAACCGGCACGGAACCACACAGTGTAAGTCTCATTGCTGTGGAAACCGGTGTAGGCTCTGGACTGATAAGCCTCTTGGTTTGACTGTTATATACTGTAAGCGTTTGAAATGTTCAAATTCAGTTTGAAATTCAGCCATATTATAGACGCTTCATCCAGTTCAGGGTCATAGGGGAGCCGGAAACTATCCGTGTACACACTCACATGGTGGCGCAGTGGTTAGCATTGCTAACCTACAGCACTGGAGCCCTGGGTTCAATTCTGGACCTAGGGTGCTATACATGTGGAGTTTATATTTTCTTTCCATATTTACATGGGTTTACTCTGGGTACTCTTGTAGTCTGAAAACATACTGGTAAGCTAATTGGCTTCTGGGAAATTGACCCTGGTGTGAGGGTGTGTATGTCTGTCTGTGTATCTGCCCTACATTGTGGTGAACCGTCCCATCCAGGGTGTACCCTGCCTTGTTCCCTACATTTTTTTCTGGAATAGGCTCCATTTCAACCCAGAATTGGAAGAAGCGGTTAAAAATTGGATAGATGGACAAGTACTTTAAATAAACAATTAATCGTATTGCCAGAACTGTTACCGTGCCCATATGCTTTCTGTCATATGCAGGAAGCAGAGACAATACTTTATGCCTTAACTTGTAATCTGTTTTCTAACCAACTGGTTTCCCATTGGTAGGTGGGATTCTGGCAGGGGTTATATCTGACTCCCTGGGGAGGAGAGCGACCACCTGTGCAGTTATGTTTCTACTTGCAGCCCCTACAGTACGTATGCCTGGAAATAGGATGAGCAGGAGCCAGAGACTAGAGGACTTAATTCACAATGTGTGGATATAGGAAGGGACCACCTCCATGAGGGGTGGTTGGAATGTATATTTGAAAAAAGTGCTGCATTTTCTGATGCAAATGGTTGGAGCTGTATAAAAGTTCTACAGCTTATATAAAATGGTATATACTATAGTGCTTATTAGGGTTATTACTGTCTTTTATAGGTAAACCAACCATCCCATTAAAAATAATTACATGGGCAGGTTGACCCTTTTTAACAGGGGTCATTTATCATCAAATCTTTCATTTGTTTTCTATCTAAATACATATACAAATGGTTATATGTATGATTGATTCCTGCCTTTTCAATGCAAATGACAAACCCCTCAGAGTCTGTAACTTTCATTGATTTTCTCAACTGTGTGTCTTTCAGCTGTATGGCTTCTCAAAGATAAGTCAGTTTGGAATGGGTCCCACTATAGGTAAACCATCTTCAAATCCTTTCTCTACAATAATTCAGATGAGGTCACCGTAGTGCTTTTCTCTTCCTTTACCTTGCAGAAAGCACCCAGTTGTAACAATGCCCAGATTAACACATGACAACCTTCTAAACATTTTTCCAAATCTCAATTTTTTTCACTTGTATTTACAATAATAGCACAATCTCATGATTCACAATATGTAATAATATATTTAAAGGTCCCACACCTATTCTATCTCTTTTTAGATTTGTACTTAATTTCAGACCAGTTTACAGGAATTCATGATCAGATTTGGAAAAGTTACTCTCATAACTTTCAACACATAACATTTATTTGGTCAATCAGTTCTAACAGCACCTTCCAGAAAATTCACAGGGGTTGTTTAGGATATCATACTAAACTAAATTAACCTTTTAAATCAGTAGAATTTAAAATCAGTTGAGCTATGCTGATTGACTGTATTGAGACCTACTACCTGTTATAATGTAATTGTATTGTAATGTCAAAATTAAGAGAAACATAACCAGGCCTACTGTAATGTAAATACGACTTCGGGTCTTTAAAAAAAGTCACAGAGTGAAAGACTCAAAACTGGATTGTGCCATTAAACCACCTTTGACTGGAATTCCCTGAGCAATGGCACACATCTGATCTTGTTCTACTGGGGTGAGGTTGGTTTGAAATGGACCACAGTAAACTGGGCTTTGTGTAATATTGATCCCCATAGTTATCTAGGTGCTTGCTATCAGTGAGAGCTGTGTCGGTGACTAAGCCCGTACCACAGATAGAAAAAAGGGAAGGGTAATAACAGCCTACTTCTCTCTGGTGGACTAAGGGCTGTAGTGACAAGTCATTTTTGATTAATACATATTGGCAATTGCAGAACTGGAAGGCATGAAAGACAAATCCTTTACAATTTCAAAACCAATTAATTGTTCATTAGGTAACATTTTAATTCCATCATATTTTTTCTGCATTCTAATTTTTCTTTTTTTTCTCATAGTTATGCTTCTCATATGTGGAGGCCTGGTAAATGGGCCGTATGCACTGATTACTACAGCAGTTTCTGCAGATCTGGTATGATTTTCTCCTTCAACCATGGATGATTGACATGTACTGTGTAAACACTATGCAATTTCTGTACTACATTAATTCGGACAGTTTAATTGTGTATGTATGTTTATATATATTGTGCATGTATATGTGTTTACTGTGTTGGCCAATTATTCAGTGCATCATTTCATACTGCTTGTTTTCATTTTTAGCTTTGAAAATTAATTGATCTTTGTCTGATGTTAACTTTTCTGTACTTTCCTTTAGGGCACTCACAAAAGCTTAAAGGGCAATGCCCGAGCTCTCTCCACTGTTACAGCTATCATTGATGGCACAGGATCCGTGGGTGAGTTTGTCTCCAATTTTCTGGCACATTCTTAGTCTGTAAAGGAAAGTATCTTTCTATGTTGTGGCTGCATCCCCCAGGGAGACCACACAGTATGATGGTTTCTTTGAGGTGAGGTATCTCTAGTGTGCTCTCACTCAAGAATTTGGGACTAGTAGGAGAGGAAACCGTGTACTAACAATCTCACTCTCACCTTCAGTATTCTTATCAAATTTGCATTGTATGCCACAGGTCCTGGGTTCATTCTGATGTAAATCCATTCTATAGTATAACTAAGCCCTATGTCCTGTGTCCCAATCAAGCTACTATAGGGCCTTTCATTTATCCATTTAAAATGTGGCTCTCAGCCTTAAACAATTATCTAATTAAATTAATTCACCATGTGAGCCTATTTACAGACGCCTGAATGACTTCTAGTAGCATGTCAACTGATGGCTGACCACAGTTGGATGTGGAGCACGTTTCAGGTGTGGCTGAGAAAGGTTTTTTAGATTTGCACTGTTCCCCTATCTTGTTTAATATTCCCACTCCAATCCAAAAACAAAATGACAACTCAGCAAAAAAGTTAAAAAATCTCCACATTAGGAAAAAATAGTGAAAGAGAGCATTCAAAATGCTGAAGTGTTAGACAAAAATGATCCTAATAAATAATTTGCTTAATTAGGCTAATATTAAATGCTGCTATGGTAAGTGGCTCAAAATAATTGAACACTGTACCAACTGTCTTTAAGAAACAAACTTCCAGATTAGGCAAGTATAAAATTAAAAAGACAGATTGTTTGAAAAAAAGGAGAAAATGCAGGTCAGTTCTTTCATCTTTGTTACCTTACCTACCTTACCTTACCTGTTCTTTGGGAGCTGCTGAAAGGAGGCTGAGTTTCCTAACCCAGCTCTCTTTCCTCCAGGTGCTGCCCTGGGCCCTTTGCTAGCAGGTCTACTGTCACCCACTGGCTGGAAAAATGTCTTCTACATGCTTATGGCAGCTGACGCATTTGCTCTGCTGGTAAGACGTCCTGAAAATCACTGAAAGTAAGCCAAACAACAGATTATTAGATAAAGGTATGGTAAGCATAGTAGAACACTTAGCAGTTACCTAAATCAACTCCAGACATCAGGAATTATCACCAAACCACCAACATATGTAAAAAAATATGAGTTTGATTAATTTAAGATTCAAGGGTATGACAAAACAGACCACTTCAGCTCTAAGACTCAGTAAATACATTTTACATCTCGTCCATCAGTTGTAAACCTGCAACTATAAATAATGGATCTACATTACAACTATAATCCATGTTGCTTCTGATACTTAACATGGTCCATCTTTAAGACATCACAGTTCTTTACTTGAGGACTGTCTTTATTTATAAAATGTATTTTTTTTTGTTACAGTTTTTGCTGCGTCTAGTTTCGAAAGAGTTAAGAACACCAGAAACAAAGAATGGCACTTCAGTGGAGTAAGTGGTTAAGTGTTTTCATCTGACTCATCTCTATCTCTGTGTCATGTGTTTAGCCCTTAAGAGTCCAATGGACTGTTTTCCTGAATGTATAATGTAGAAACATGCTTACAAATTCTGTTTAACAAACAAGACTAGCATTTAGACACTAATAAATAACACAACTGATATTTTTAAAAGTCTTATTTACAGTACTTGTGTTGATTTGTTTTTTATATAGAAGGAATGGTTATACATATGGGAAGCACTCTGGCATAACAAATGTCAGTTACAGTTTGTGTGAAAAAAGAGCAGACTTAAAACTTGTAGTGTTTTCTAGAAAGAAAAATAGTTAAACATTCTCTATCCCCTTACAGGCTGAAAGAACACTGAGCACTTCTTCTTCGTCTCCAAAGAATTGCCTCAGCAACATGACCAAAACTTGTAAAAGTCTTGTTTTTAAAGAGACTTGTTAAAAAGCTTTAAAAATTTGCTATGTAAATTCTATTAATATGCATATATTTGAAAGTTTCTCACAATACATTTTTTTATATGGAATTAGATTTAAGCATGGGAGAAAGGGAGATCATGAAAATAACTCTTCTATTGTTATTTATTTATTTTTATCTGTGATATATTTGTTTTGATGTTATAAAAGTGTAACAGATTCAGCATTGTGAAACTGTTCATTGCACATATGGATAGACCTGAGCCTGGTGGATCTGTATTCAGAGTTATGCTGTTAACTCCACACTCTCCAATCACCTCAGTAAAAAAACAAAAATGAGAAGTCAGGAGCCAGTTTTACACATCTTTTCCAGGATGCTTCTATTAAAAAAAAAAAGTTTCAGCTTGGAAGTGGGCCCCTGGTACTGCCTGACATCTTCTACATCCACTTTCCCTATAAAAAGTGATTCAGTTGTGCACGGGGTGATGCTCACAAATGGTCTTTTTTCATAACAACTTCAGTGACTTCAGTAATACATAAACCTGGTATTAATTAAGTGGGATTTTGAAGTCTCTGACTCCGGGAAGTGACATTATGGAAGAGGAGAGGAAGATAGGTGCACTCCAGCCTGGAAGGCTTTTCACATGATTGATGCAAAGCTGGTAGAACACCTAACCATAACTTTTGTCTACATACTGTAGAAATGGGGTCATGCCAGGCACTACAGGTCTTGGAATCACCAGTCACCATTGTCTACTCCAACCTCATTTTACCCCTTTGAAAGACACTGGCTGATGTTAAGCATAGTTGTTGGGAGAAAAGACTTGTGCTTGTTCTTTGGAGATGTTGTCAGCCTAAGCCTTGCCTCCAGTCCCATTAACCAACAGGAGATCTCACCACACACTCCAGGAAGTTCCCTTAAGAACTGGTCCATATTAGGGATTTCAATATTTGGCGTTGGGGACAAGGAAATTGAAGCAGGGGGCAGATACAGCATTCTACTCCAGGATACTGGACCATGGTTATTACCAATGTGACCTTTTAACGCCACCCTATAAAAAGGGGGTAGACATGATTATGACTCTGTGTCGCTGCCAAATATTCTTTCCCATGATGCCCTCAGTGACAAGCAGTTATTTGTAAGAATTAATGGAAATAAACCTCTTTTTGGTGAGTGTCGCGGAGTGCCTCTTCTGGCTTCCTTCCACACACCATTGACACTCATAGCTGTTTTTTTATCCACCAGTCACAGCAAAGACTATTCTAGAATACAGATGATCCAGTAGTTAAGGTAAAGATATTTAATAGAGAGGTTAAGATACAGGGTTTGTGTTTCCTCCCGGTGGGTTAAGTTGAACAAGTTACTGAGCGTTTTCATAACCTTTATTTAATAATTTAGAGTGAATCCCACAGTACTGCCAACTGTGCCAAAAATAAGAACAATAAAGCAATATAATAGCAAGTCAACAATAAAAACATAACTTAAATATTAGAAACAGCAGGAGACTATAAATAGGTTTTAAACCACAAATGAAATAAATACATTTCTTGTACTCAGCTGTTTGTCTGAGACAAAATGTTCGACCAAGGGCCTACCAGTGAGGCAGGCAGGAGCTGCTTATGGATGTTTATGAAATGTAATGAAATGATTCGTTAACCTGTGTTTAATTCATCTTGAAATGGTCATGCCCTCTACAGCTAGAGGGCGCTCCTACTCTGTCCTGTTCCTAGTTTCCCCGTGCTTTGCTTGTCCTTCCGGAGTGTCTTTGTTAAAGGCTATATATTTCCCGGGTCACCCTTTTGTCCTTCCTCGCCATTGAGGGTTCGGATGTCTTGAGACCCGCCTAGCACCAGGTCGTCTCCTCCGCAGCCTGAGGGCCTGACATCATCTGACCTGCTGAGCCCGGACTAACCCCCATTTTGCTGCTATGCATAGGGTCTTTATCGCTCTCCTGCCATTCCACGGCATGCCTTTCCGACATCCATGACAGAAATCACTTTTCAGCTTCAGGTC